TTTTTTCTCTCTTCATCTTGACAATCTCTTGAGGAATAGAAATCTGCTAAAGTTAAGCTGAAGAGTGCTACATTAAAACTTTGTTATCAGCCACTTATAAAAGAGATGAGATGAAACATCCCTCAACGGAGCTCCAAAGGCCCCTCCACATATTGAAGCACAAGCTGGAAGACATGTTTCACTAGCATCATACATTACAGGCCAGCGATTAAGCAGAGAGATCTATCGTCTCCTGGTAGATAATACATTTTAAAGGCCATGCTTCTTGTATGCCTACTACCTGCTTCACCTGGTACTATACTTAGCAGTAGACGGCTTAAACCTGCCTCTCTACAATCAGTGCGATACTGTTCGCCAAAGTGTTATGCATTGCAGTTTCTGTTCTTAGTAATGTACCGTGCTAGCCTAGGCGCCGTGATTATTCTCTCGACTCTTCCGCGGCTAGCATCTCACTCTGTCATATGAGTAGCCCACTACAGGGGCCGCTCCATGGGCTACTTCAATGCTGCTCACTTCGTCCGAGAGCTTCCAATCGCGTGATTGGAGGAATCATGTAGCTGCGAAGACGCAAGACCTAAAGCCGCAGGGCAGAAAAGAGGCTTGGCGATAACCAGCCTTTACCCCCTCTCACGGGTAACCCTTTAGCTTTGATTGACGAACGTCATTCTATCTCCGACAGCCAGTACGCGCCAAGAATATCGCGAGCTTCCTTTTTCGGCAATCTGAATTAGCGCCTGCTCCTATTTGTAGAATAGCAGTATGTATACGGCTTGCTTACCTATTGTTAGGCAGGACCACATGGCTACAAGTCCACAGACAGCCCACAATATGCTCCGCCCTTACGAATCATTAATGCGTACTTTCATCGTTAAGTAGTGAAGAGCTATGGGCACCGAGTTCTCCTTTTAGTTTTAGCCTTGGAGCCGGAGCTGCTATATAACAACGCATTATTCTCACTTGTAATAAATACCTAGTAGGTATTAGGCAGTTGCTACTATTAATCACTTCGTTTGAAATTTATCTTGGGGATTGTGGTCAGGTGAGGTTCGGTGTTAAGGCACTAAGGCGCTACACCGTGCACTAAACTTAAAATTTTACTCTACTTTCATGGTTACTGTAGTGGGTCCCATGGCATTACTACTCTTCTCTTTTCCAGGGGGTTAATAGAAGCAACATACAACCACGGTTCTGCGTCTTCGAGGCCTCCTGTCAAATGCCCAGGAATCCCAAAACGGAATTTGCAAGGCTCTCTTAAAGTGCTGTTCCCAGATGGTTGCCTAGATGCAGTGTAGCCAAGAGAGCCAAGACATGCAAGTCTACTCTGTACTAAACTCGCCGCTATATATCCAAAGCGAGTCATCTGTGAGCTACAAGATCGGCTCAGCTACTGAAGACGAGCAAATGAGTTTAGATGCCGTAAACTAAAATGGGGATATTGTGTACGGGCTCCAAAGGAACCAGCCGGCAAACTTGTAGCCAACTTTTCACCACATGCCATGGAAAGTTTACGTATGACTCCCGTGAGATGGCCTGTTAAACCTTAAAGCAAACCTGGGAGTGAGATATGGCGAGCTCGCCAGGCAGACCGACTGATGGCACTGAGATCTGATTTGCAGAATGGCTTTGCAATTTAATCCACCAGTCACAAGTCGGCCCAACCCACGCCATCTACACTTCTCCTGCCCAGTTTGGCACTTGGGAACCATTAGCTGGTTAGGCGTAGAGATCCACCGAAATCCATCCGAGAAACATGGTTGCAATCCGCTCGAACCCCTAGGGGTACAATGTGAACTGATTGGCCAGTCTACAAAGAGCCTCTCTTTAATTGAACGGCATATTTTTCTCCGAATAGATGACAAGCTCTTCGAAAGCAATTATGGTCGTTCCGAATGAACCAAATCCTTGGGTGCAGCGGTGCATAGTGGTACTTGCATACCAATATCGTATTGACCTAGTTGCAAGGAATGGCAGGGTATGCTATTTGTCGGCATCTATAGACCAAGGAACAGGGTCGATGATGTTGTTCGTTTGTTTTGTCCGACGGGAAGCGCGAGGAGGCACAACTATAAGTACCTAGCCACGGCTCTGTCGATCATTCTATTCGAAATCTCCATCTCTTGCTTACACAATCATCTCAAGTTTCAAGCTTTTTACAGAGCTACTTCTGTTGAGGAGAAGAATCATCTTCAAAATGGTTGCTTTCAAGTCCCTTTTCGCCGCCGCCTTGGCTCTTCTGCCAGCGGCCAGCGCCACCCGCACTTTCTACAACGACGGCCACCTCAACGGCTGGGACTACGTTCGCAAGGAGGCCCAGGGCACCGTCTCAGAAGTCTCCAATGTCGTCTACAAGGGCACCTCCGCCCTCAAGATGACCCAGACTTACCTTGGCACCTCGTACCACGACCGCTACCACTCCGAGGTCGACCACAACCAGGGCTATAAGCGTGGCGATGAGCTCTTCTACGGCTTCGCGTTCCGCCTCTCCGACACGTGGGAGACTTCTGGCCAGTCCTACAACCTTGCCCAGTTTATCGCCAACCGCCCTGGCGCTGGCTGTGGCGGCGATGACTGGATGCCCTCCACCATGATCTGGACCCAAAACGGCCAGCTGTACGCTCGCTACGTCAACGGCCACTACCGCCAGCCCAACTGCGGCCGCAACATCGTCACTCGCCCCAACCTCGGCGCCATCTCCCCAGGCCAGTGGCACAAGGTCATCCTCCAGGTGAAGTGGGCATCTGATGGCACCGGCTACTTCAAGGTCTGGTTCGACGGCGCCAAGGTGCACGAGGAGTACAACATTTCCACCACTCTCGATGACGACAGTGTCTTCCAGTTCCGTATCGGCCTCTATGCCAACAGCTGGCACGACGACAACAAGATGACTGGTAGCCAGAGCTTCCGCCAGGTCTGGTACGACGAGGTTGCCGTTGGCACTACCTTTGCCGATGTCGACCCCGATCAGAGCACCTAAGCCGCTGACTGTGAAGAATTTCTTGTGAGGGCTGGATAATTATTCAATCACAAGATTTCAATGCTCTAATTGCTCATTTAATGCTTACATAAGTAGTATATTAGGTAGCTTCCATACAGTTCTTGAAAGCACGTGTATATAATTTACTGGTATATATTCAAAAAGCACATACTGCTTCCGCCGTATACTTGGACGTGTAGTAAACTCTTGCGCAAACTCTTTCCCATATTCCTCTTAACTCATCCAATATGTCTCTAATGAAAATAACTTTTAAACCATTTTCATTTTTTATTTGTTGTCCGCATCCGGAGTCCTCAAAGTGCCTGCATATAAGATGCCTCTTATATCAAGCATCAAACGGGCTAGAGCTACAGCCAGTGACCCCACCTTTTTTTCTGCAGCAAACCTCACATCGGCGCCGATGACTGACTCTTTAGCAGCTCTGATAACGCTTCATGACTCTACATTTTACCTGTTCGCACAAGCAAATATTATAAAATCAACGTCTGTGTCGATATTGCGTCATTCAATTCTTAATCGCACAGCGTCAATTGGTATTTTCTCCTTCCCTCAATTGCTACCTTCGGGCCCTAAATTCTAAACAAAGCTCTCGTCAGCTTAAAAAAAGAAAAGGACGTCATGAAGATCACAGCAGCGCGAGCTCTCCGAAGCGCGGCCAATGGCTTCCAAAGCCGTGCCTACTCACAAGCTGCCGCCAAGCCCAGGCATCTCATGTCCATCGGCGACCTTTCGCCTTCAGAATTCTCTGCCCTGGTGCGCAATGCCGCCGCCCGCAAACAGGACGTCAAGTCTGGCCGGGTGCCGCGACTCAGCAACGGCTTGGCCGGTGAGACGGTGGCCATGATGTTCAGCAAGCGAAGCACGAGGACTCGTGTGTCGACTGAGGCGGCAGTTACGATGCTGGGGGGACACCCCATGTTCCTTGGCAAGGATGATATTCAGCTTGGCGTTTGTGCTTCTTTAGAGTTATTTTGAATTATTTCATCACTGACATTGTAAGACAGGTTAACGAGTCGCTATATGACACCTCCGTTGTCATCTCATCAATGACATCTTGTATGGTAGCCCGAGTCGGCCCTCATTCTGATGTCACAGGACTAGCAGAGCACTCGACCGTGCCCGTTATCAATGCCCTCTCAGATGATTTCCACCCCCTGCAAACCATTGCCGACTTTCTCACCATCTATGAGGCCTTCCCATCTTCTGTCTCAAGCGACAACAGCCTCAACCTTAGTGGTCTAAAAGTTGCTTGGGTTGGCGACTCTAACAACGTGTTGTTCGACCTGGCCATTGGCTGCGTCAAAACCGGCGTCGATATCGCTGTCGCCTCGCCTCAGGGCTACGGAATCCCCGACCACATGAGGAAGCTCATCAACTCAGCTGCCAACGGTGTCAAATCACCCGGTAAGCTGTCAGAGACGACCGTTCCTGAGGAAGCTATTAAGAATGCCGACATTCTGGTAACCGACACTTGGATCTCCATGGGACAGGAGGCTGAGAAGCAGAAGAGGCTCAATGCTTTCGCCGGATATCAGATCACCAACGAACTGGCAACACGAGGTGGCGCCAAGAATAACTGGAAGTTCATGCACTGCCTACCCCGACACCCTGAGGAAGTTGCAGATGAGGTGTTCTACAGCCCTAGGTCTCTAGTCTTCCCTGAGGCAGAGAATCGACTTTGGGCCGCTGTTGGTAAGTTATTCCTTTGCTAGCTATTTACGCAATATCGACAGAACGCTAATGTTGCCTTTTTCTTTTAACAGCGGCATTGGAAGGCTTTGTCGTAAACAAAGGTGTTCTTGAGTAATACCAAACATCAAATTTATGTAGTTGAAAAGAAAATTTTAAGAGGAAATTTTTTGCACATACACAAATCACAAGCAGTTAAAAAAAAAAATCGAATTCATACAAAAATGCTATAAACCAACGACCATTTCCTTACCAGACGCCAAGTGTCCAAATGGCACTAGCTAGGTACAATTAATACTCGTAGAAAATCATAATTTTAGCCAGGAGGAAGCTGGCTAGCATCGACAACCTCGTCGGCATCTTTGATCATAGGCTCCTCAGTGTGCTTGGCAAGGGGTGATCTGGGTAGGGCCATGAGACCAGTACGGGCAGATTCCAGAATTCCAAAGGGAGAAACCAGCTTCAAGAATGAGTCGATTCTCGACTGCTTAGCGGAGCTGTTATCCAGAATGTTAGTAGGCAGTTTACTCCAATGAATGACGCTCACGGAGGATATTGCACGACTTACACTTCAACAATGCAGCTGGTAGTGCTAATATCCAGCACCTTGCCTCCGAATTGGTGGGTGAAGTAGGTGATAGTCTTCAAGTGCTCGTGCTTGTGGCGAAGAGCCTCACTGGCAGCAAGCTTGCTAGGGTGGAAGTCCTTGGCTGACTCTTCGAGAGTTCGCTCAAACTCGTTGACAGGCTCGCCCTCATGCTCGCCGCTGCTGATTTCGCGGTGGTGAGCGAGCAGCTCCTCGAAATACTCGGGTCCGAGAATGTTGACCTTGGCAAGAAGGAGTTCGCGTTGGACCAGAGCTGCGTTGCTGTAATCTAGCACAGCCCAGACAGGCACCAGGTCTTCCAACTGTCTTCTGGCCTGCTCGACAACGCCGTCCTGGCCAGTCAAGACAATGGTCATGCGAGACAGATCCTCCACCTCGGTGCTGCACACAACCAGGGAGTCAATGTTGAAGCCTCGGGCAGCGAGAATACCAGAGAGGCGAGAGAGCACACCCGGCTCGTTCTGGACCAGACAGTTGAGGATGTGACGCTTCGGGGGCGCCATGGAGGGAGTAGGCGTCTCATAGAGAATGTTGGAGACGGCGGCTTGGGCCGACCAAGCCGGAGGAGTGTCGGTGGTGGGCAGAGGAGCCGAGCGACGGCGCAGAGCCTTGTAGGCGATGGCAGAGGTTGAGCTGCTGGACGAACTGTGTCGCACAGTCGTCGTCCGCACAGCAGTGGGGAACGACCTCGCAGCGAGGCGCAAAGGCGCGTTCCACGGCCGAAGCGAAGCCATCCTGCAGTGCCGTGAACCAATCGAGTTCGGTCACTGGAAGACAGCAAGTCGGACGTCGATGGAGTTGATAGTTGGATGCTTTCGTGAGCGTTGAGTCAGTGAAGGAGGAAGGATTTAAAAGCATGCAGAAAAGTTAGTGGCCTCGAGAGACGGAGGTGGGCTCCGATAAACCGGAGGTTGACTGACACAGCGATTTAGTACGGTTCAGGTTGGCTGGCCATTGGGCTGACGGACGCTAAATAAGGAAGAGGATTCCGCTACTGCATTAATCTTTCCGCAGATGACGACTACAGCTGCTTTATTACTGGATTGCGAAAGGTAAAGGAAAGCTCTGGTTAGCTGTTTGGCTCACAGAGGGGATGAGCGCATTAGAGTTACCTGGAGGCTCAGTGGCTCTAGCACTGCGACGAGAATTTCCAGCTCCCGAAAGCGATCGGATATGGGTGCTGCCCCACGCATAAACTCCCCCGCGATTTGGCCATATTCGGCATCCATGGAAGTGCAAATTACATATTCCTTTGAAGCCGGTGGTGTTGGTGTTTATCGGGCTCAGCCTTCTTCTTCTTCTATATGGAATTGATTAATTTATAGGCCTTGCCGAGCCATTACTTACTTGAGGGCCCTTGCTCTCTTTCTATGTATATGTGCCGTGCCGTGCTGAGCTTTTGGCAAAATCCAGCTTCCCAAAAGCTGCACCAGCCCGCAAGCAGCCTCACGTAAGAGCGCATGCGTGGCTGATTGCTTTGTCACCATAGACGGCAAGACGGCGTGTTCTGAGAGCCATTGCTTGAAGATGCAGAATTTCACAATTTGCAGCTTAAAACGCATCTTATATTTCCTCAGTTAACTACATCACGACAGTAGCGGGATCTTGTATCAGCAAGAGCTCCGACACCGCAGCGTAACCAGCCATTTCCCCATGGGCTCAGCTTTAAGTGGCATTATGTAAGGCCATTGGACTTTGCACGCGCGAGTATATTTTTCCGATGCTAGTTAGGCGTACCCCTGTCTATCTAATCTTGATACAAGGCTATAATAAACAAAGAAAAAAAAAAAGAAAAAAATCCGCCATTTAGCCTAGGTACCCAAGTACCCTCTGAAGAGTGCCCAAGCACAGTGGTTGGCTGCCGGCGCTGATCTACGCATGTCGCGGACTCTTGTGCCCTGCAGCCTTGCATCCTCCAACTGATTTTTCTGCTAAATTACGACGCAACCTCGGCTCTATTGCGAGCGTCTCTTGGTCTTCCTATCAAACACCGGAATATTCGTCTCTTTCAAATCGCACACCGCGCATCCCTGTCGCGACACCATGGAGGATTCTGAGCGGCGAACAAAGCGATCTCGTTTCGACCAGACGGAGCCTGAACCCCGACGAGCATCTAGATTTGACAGGCGCTCTCGATCTCCGCCTACGCGCCGCCACGAAGGCAGAGACCGCAGTCCGCTTCCCAAGGATGATTCCTCCGAGACAAAGAAACCCGCAGTAGATGCTGCTGCGGCTGCTGGTACGCCCCTTTGACTCACATCTCTTCAGGCGCAAATGCGCGTGTACTTGCGATTGCGACGAGCTAACCTCGCAAAATAGCTGCTGCCGCTGCGAAGATCAATGCTCAGCTACAGGCGCGAAAGGCTCCCCAGCATGTTGATGTGCCCCCGATCAGATCTTCGGGCGCGCAATCCGATAAACCAGGCGACAATGAGATGAAGCCCGATATGTATGTTGCCGACGGCGACTATATCCAAGACATCGAAGTCAACGACTTGCGAAATCGATACCTGCTGACCAAAGGCTCTACTCAAGAAATGGTAAATAATCCTCATTCTATTTGCTCCGCTGGATTCGTCAGCTTGACGCCCGGCACTACAACCCAAGTCATGATGCTCTCGTGGCTGCGGGTTTGCAACTGCTCCCCCTTTCTGGCTCTCACTAACCTCGTATTCATTTAGATTCGAAACGAGACTGGTGCTGGTACGCAATAATAATCCTTGCCACAACAGGTTCTAAAACGTTCATATTGACTTTTTCTCCTCAGATGTCACCACTCGTGGTAGCTATTACCCTAACAAGAGCATGGCAACTGCAGCGGTAAGATGAATCAACGACACCACACCACACTCTTGTACATCGTCTTCTAACTTTAGCCTCTCACAAAAGAATCCTCCTTTATATCTTCACATAACTAGTACTTCCAAGACTGGGCTAGAAGCCGCAGTGGCAAAGATCAACGACCTCATTAAGCAGGAGCTTCCCCAGCTAGTTGACGAACGACGATTCCGACGCAGAGACCAGGAGCCGCAGCCGCAAGTTGAGCGAGATGAATTTGGACGAGTAAGATACTATCTGGAATTTTGACTATACTACATTGTAACTGACTGGTTTTCCTAGCGCAAATGGCCCGACGAGAAGATTCCCATTACTCTTGAACCAATTCCAGGATTCAACCTACGTGCTCAAGTAGTTGGTCACGGCGGTGCCTATGTAAAACATATCCAGCAAGAAACCGGTTGTCGAGTTCAAATCAAGGGTCGAGGCTCAGGCTACCTGGAGGCTGCCACCAATTGTGAAAGCGACGAAGACATGTTCCTTCATGTCACGTATGTATTCATACTGAGCCTCCTCTCCACTCTAATTTGCGTTACTGACTTCTCATCTCAGAGGACCTGATCCCAATATGGTTGCCAAGGCCAAAGAACTTTGCGAAGACTTGATTGCCAACGTCAAGGAGCAGTACGAGGAATTCAAAGCCCGACCGCCTCGCTATAACAATGATCGTGGCGGGTATGGCGACCACCATCACCACAGAGGATCCCACGATCGGTCGCATGGCGGCTCTCACCACAATTCGTACAATTCGTATAACAGATATAACTCCGACTCTGGTGCCTCCAACAGCCCCGCTCCAGGAGCCAGCAACCAACAGAGCGCAGCCGACTATGCCGCTCAATATGCTCAATACTACAATGGCGCCGATCCCTATGCCGCATATGGAGGATACGCTAAGTAAATCGGCCTGTTCAGGATTGTCTTGATCAAAGGACTAACGTATTGCAGCTATGTCGCCTTGTATCAACAGTACTATGGAGGTCAGACTCAAGCACCAGGTCAGAGCTCACATGCTGCAGCAGCCCCAGGTCAATCTGCCTCTCCTCCGCCGCCGCCGCCGCCTCCTGCCGAAGCAGCTCCCCCTCCACCACCTCCTCCAAGCTCTGCACCACCCCCTCCGCCACCATCCGGACCACCCCCTCCTGGTGGAAGTTTCAGTGCTGTATGTTTACCCCTGATTCACAGATTCGAGTGTGCGGCATTAACTAATTACTTGTTGTTGATTTCAGGTTCCGCCTCCTCCGGGGCTTTAAAGGAATAGGTCTCCATAACTGACATAAGAGCTTGCTACTCCTTTTGTTATGCTGACTTTGTAATATACATGGTTGACAACAGGGGGCAACAGATCTCGTAAACGAATGGCTTGGAGGACGCGCAGAGCTGCTAGTTTCAAACGCACCGCACAAATATCTTAGGTTTGGTACGAAAGGTTTCAAACTGACAAGTCCAGACATCTGAATTTAGACATAAATGCAGTGGTAGGGAGTTGGTCTTGACAAGACCAGTATTTTTTTGTTGATAACTATTGTTCAAACAGGAAGAAAAAGTTGATGGTTCTTGTGTGAGAAGTCTTGACTGCTGACAAGCACAGGCTGTAAACTATTAATCTGGGCCAGAGTAATAATAGTGCTACGATATGTGTATGAAAGTGACGGTTCAAATTGGTGCTGATGTAGGATATAAAAGCTTAAAAAGACTATGGCTCATAACCTCTTATTATATGAATGCTGCCTCTGTAATCGACCTACAATTGGGCTTGTTATGTAGCTATCAGGTGGGAGCGGGTTATCGCAATTGCTACAGCCTGACCTAGTTTGTCAATTATCGCGGCTGTCGAGACTTGAAGTGCAGCATCTATGGATGAAGCTTCATGGGAGAGAATCCATTTAGCCCCTCTACTATCAGTTAATAATTATCAGGTCTAAGTCGCCACGAAGTTTGGGTATTGCAACGCTTATAGGAGGTTAAGTTTACATTTCACATCCTTGGTCAATCGGCGTTGTATTGTTTATCATCTTTTCTCCCATTCTGATCCTGTAAGCCATGAAACCAGGTTTCGAATCGAGCCCACTCTTACAGAAGCGTGTTCTGCAAAGAGGTCTTCGAGGGTCTGTTGTGGAGTATCCTCCAAGCTGGTTATCTCAGTGGAATTTCCATCAACATCAAGAAGCACAGGGTTCCAGCCAGCTTCGGCAGCTCCCACGACGTCCTTGGCAACCTCGTCGCCAATATACACCTTTTGCCACCTCTCCATCTCGGATTCGGTAAGAGTCTCTTTATATCGAGCTCTGATGATGTGAGAAAGCATAATATCGGCGGCGTTGAAAATCCGTCTGTCTGGCTTCTCCACGCCAACGTCGTATGACATACAATGGAAATCGATATCAAATTGCTTCTCTCGAAGAGCGCTTGCGTCAAACGGAGTACCGTATCGTAACGGACTAACATTAAGGCCCAGAGAGGACAGGATATCTGGGACTCGATCGTCGGAATTTGTGATTACTCCAATAACAAGCCTCTCAACCCCTTGCTGGGATATCCGCTCCCGCAAAGCCCTTATTGCTGGGACAAGATCACGTTGGGCTTCATAGCCTTCGCTTGAAGAGAATCGGTGGATTAGTTTCGGGACTAGAGTAGGGGGGAGGGCCTGGTTGTTGCGCAAGAGTGGTGTAAATGTTTTGTGGATGACCTAGACAACCGATATCAGACATGGGTGAACCCCTCTCACGCTAGAGTTTTGAAGCATATTAAAGAGACATAAACTAGTAATAAAGCTTGATGCAGCCTGCTTATTATAAAACAACCCGGGGATCTACTCACATTCGTCCACCACTGAGTGGCGCCCAGTCCCGTTGCTTTCCCGTAGTTTGGATTCTGCTCCCGCTCGTCTTTAATTGCTTCCAATAACCGAGATTGAAGCTCCTTATCGCTAAAGCCAGTAAAATCACATTGCCGTGCGACTTCTGCGTACTGCTGGGCGACTGGGCCTTTGGGGCTGAATAAAGTGCCAAACGCATCAAAGCACAGAAGCAGATTTGGTTTCGCCGCCTTCATGATGGGCCGTGATAATGCTGAAAATGCCATTGAATAGCAGACCTTACGGAAGGATTATCCCCACCCCCCCTTTTTTTTCTCACCCGCTAAATACTAATTCCCAGAGATTTGAAATGAAGGAGTTTTATTTGAGGGCCTCCCGAAAGCTCATAAAATGGACGCTCGGATATTCAAACGAGGGGGTTAACGGTAGAAAGGAGGATTCACGCGTCGGGGGGCGAGAGGAGACTTGGGGAAATTAATAACCGATTTGCAGCTAGGGAGCCACGCCGGTTGCTGGCAGTTCTAGAAATCGGGGAAGAATACGCTGCGAATTTATCTTAAAACTTGTTTTGTACATCTATCTATGCTCTAATAGCCCATATACAAGCATAAACTTTAGGTGATCCATTTGCTATGGACATTCACATTACTCCGTAGTCGGAGATGTCCTCAAGACCCGGGTTCTGATTTGAAGTCCAAAGCCTAAGATAGCCGGCGTTGGGTGCTAATAATAGAAGAAATGGGGTCCCTGATCTCTTATCGATAGCGAGCTTGGTGGCAGCTGCTACTGTAGCAGCTCCGCTTCCCACAGTGATGTCGCTGCCAAGTACCTGAGCATTCATTCGTTCCCCAGCACAGCGCGCAGTCTTGGATAGAAATGTCCCATCAGGCATACGCCTCCCACGATCCCGTGAAGGAGCCGCACTCGGTCTCTGTCAAAGTCCTCAGGTAGGCACCAAATCCTCCTTGATTGGGTCGTCTCGATCTGTCCTTGGACCGCGGCCAACCTCTGCAGGCTCTCTCAACCGTCTCTCGTAACGCAGTACCCAGTAGATCCTCCATTCTCTCCTCCCACCACCAAATCGCAGCCAGCTCCCGCGTCGCTCGCTTATAAATCCGCCTCGAATACGAATCCCGACCCATTCCTGCTAAGCCCGATCCTCAACCTGCCCGTGTCGTTCGGCTCGGCTTACGTGGGCGAGACTTTCAGCTGCACCCTCTGCGCGAACAACGACCTGCCCCCCGATGCAGCGAAGCGCATACGAGATGTTCGCATTGAGGCTGAGATGAAGACCCCTGGCCTGGGAGGAACCCAGAAGCTCGAACTCGGACCCGCGAACATCCACGGCGCGACTCCTGCAGGAGGGGTAGATCTCGAGCCGGGTGGGACGCTGCAGAGGATTGTAGGCTTTGACTTGAAAGAGGAAGGGAACCACGTCTTGGCCGTGACGGTGAGCTACTCTGAGGCTACGGAGACGAGCGGGCGGACGCGGACATTCAGAAAGCTCTATCAATTCATATGCAAGGCGTCTCTTATTGTGAGGACCAAGGTAAGCGCCCTGGAGCCCAGCGCAAACAGCAGCAGCTACAGAAAATGGGTTCTAGAGGCGCAGTTGGAGAACTGCAGTGAAGACGTAATTCAACTGGAAAAGGTGGTGCTAGATGTAGAGGAAGGCCTGGGCTATCAGGACTGCAACTGGCTCTCGGACGGAGACAAAAAGCCGGTGCTGCACCCGGGCGAGATTGAGCAGGTTTGCTTCCTGGTGCAAGAGAAGGGCGCGGATGCCGACGGCGGCCTACGACTGACGACTGACGGAAGATTGATCTTTGGCGTCCTCGGTATTGGGTGGAGAGGGGAGATGGGATGTCGAGGATTCCTCTCGACGGGCAAGCTTGGTGCTCGGATTGCCGCACGGTGATTCACTGGCAACAGTCGAGAGAACCGTTCATTGACAAAAAATAGCAAGCATCCTGTATGGAGAGACCAGGGGACTATGGGAACGTTTCCAACGTCTTAAATTATGGATCCAACGGCCGATCTTGAGTATATACCGCGGCTGTGAGGATGCGTGGCATGCCATATACATGTGATGGAGCAATTCCGGAGGGGAGGGGCATTACGATTCACGATTCACGAGAGAGATGTAGTATCCAGGCATAGGGGAAAGGTTGGGTGTTGGGTGTTGAAAGCACCGAAAGTCCGGGTTGACGGGTTTGTGCCATGCTGGGATATAAACAGACCGCCAAATAGGAATGCCAACTACCTAGTATCAACAGTCATGGCACCTACAAGGAGTCACAAGTACTTCTTTAAAGGCAGCAAGGTACAAAATGGATGGATCCCTTGACTTCACAAAGAGATCCAGAGCGCCTAAGCATAACGAATGTGTAGTACGAGTTCCGACCAGGCATTGCCTTTAGCTGTTACATGTGTCTTGCCTCTTGTTTTCGGACTACCTACCTATTATAGGTAGGTAGTCAAGGACATATGGTTTCGTAAGTTTTGGCAAAAAGGAGAATAACATGGTTGATGATGGGAAGCCAAGCTTACGGCCCAAGTTCCGAACGGACGGGATACTAGGTTAGGTAGTAGTGAATTGACAGATATTTTTATCACAGTTCAGCCTATTAGAGCATCTCTATTTTTATTTTTTCAGCTTATAAGTATGCATGACTTGTTACCCAATCGGTCAACTGTCAAAGCAGGGCTGTGTTTTAACTAGGGAAGCGTTTTTCTCGTACTCCCCAAACCAAACGCTAATAGTAGACTGCTACCCTAAAACATAAAACATCCAATGCACTCCTGTTCGTGTATCAGGGATGCGCCCGCCGTTTTGGCCCAGTACGAGCAACTGCTAGCCATTACTACCCAGCTGAAATGCGTGTCGTGTATGCAAGACTGATCTGACGCTGACGACAATGTCACACGAGGTGACAGTTGCTAAGAATACCGTCTCGCTTTCTTTCTTTAGTGATCATCCGTCAGGAAATGTTGCTGCTCAGTCCCCCTCCCCCCCTGACAGCGTCTAAAGGGGTAAAAGATGTCCATACCTGCTTTTGGCAGCGGGTATCGAAGCAGTACCAGTACCTGGTAAGAGGTAGTAGTATATATGGAGTTCGGAATATTATTATCTACGCACGTTTACCTTGGTAAATGCGAACCCCGTCTCACCGTCAAACCTTTACAGTACTGTGAAGCATGAAGAAAGTAGGTAGTAGAGGAGGAGAGCATAGTACAGTCAGCAGGATGATGTCAGCAGGTAATGGGATGCCTTCAATATAGACATGTAGTCAATTATAACATAACAAAGCAATGCGCAAGAGCAACGCATTTGGGTAGAGGCACGGTCGACTGAGCTGCTTTACAAACAGAGGGAAGCATCCGGATCGGAGGGATGAGGAGCCGGCAGTCGGCTATGAATGCACCGAGTCCAAGACCGGGATCGACAGTATTAGATAGTGGTATCTAGCGGGATCGGCGGTGGGCTGTCGCAATTCAAAATGAGGTCAAATGGCTTGCTGTAGTAGCCGTTTAGAGGCGTCGCACCAGGAGAATTGCTTGATGGCTTGGATGTATTAGATTCATTGGCAGATGCTTACGGTTAACCGCAATTGAGCTGCACGCAAAAGCAGCATGAGTGCTCCGTGTATAAAGTAATACCCAGATCCTGAACTGAACCCGTCTTCATAGTCAAAGTGAGCCGTTTTTGGTGGGTCAGAGTTGAGTTGTAGTAGGCAGATTACATGTAGCAGTATGTACAGTAAGTAGTACTGTGACTGCTGGTTGCTAACACATTTATCCAGTTGGACAAGTTGAAGTGGCATATCTCGACAGAGCTAATTCTACAGCCTGCCGTATTTGTCTGTGGCTGCAGTCTAGCTCTGTATGTTATAGATATGTTAATACCAATTCGTGATCCAGGTTGATCATAGAACAAGGGTTAATTCGGAGTGAGTGGTCTAAGTGGGTGGCTAAGATCGTGATACATCAGATGTGGGGTGTCCTGAAACGGGCTGAATCTATTTTCTTCCACCCGTCTCCCCATGTAAGCAGAACTGGTACTCATAAGAGGTACGAAACAAAAGAGAGCGGCCGCAAGGTGGATAGCTATCGTCTTTTTCGATCCAAGGTCAATACGGAGTTCAACGAAGGGGAGATGCGTATTCGAGCGGCAAAACAGGGCCAAGACAAGAAAATCCCAGCTCTACCCAGCAGCATTCAGCTAGTGCAAGGAGAACGAGACCCTCCCTTATATTGCTCAAAGGCTTTGTAGCCTGCTCCATGCATATTACGGAGAGGCAGGTATGGAGTAGAAATCACCTTGTGCCATGCTACTTAGTTATACGAAGCTCTCGAGTTCTCCTTAGTGCGAACTTGCGCAGCCTTCAATCCAGGGTCCGTGCTCCCACGTCCTAGCCGGAGCCAAAGCAACCTAGTCCAGGGGCTAGCTGGAGACGGCCGTGAAGACTGAGGCGTCGAGTACGGAGTACCTGCAGCATGTGCTTCGCTTTGAGCACCTATGGGCGCCATGTCACTCGCGTGCTTGGCGGTACCTGCATCTTGGTGGCCACTGAAGCTCTCTGTTACACCGGCCGGTGCCTGATTATCGCACCTAGCTCCTTGCCGATCTGGGGGAGCTTGCTTAATAGGTACTCCATTGCCTTTGGCGTGGGGACGTGCAAGTATTCGGTATTCGCCAGTAGAGGCTGCCCATGCTGAGACGAGTCGTAGTTGCGGTGAGAGCTCATCTCATTATCGATCAATCATAATGCATACTGCAGCATTGCACATACTCGCACTACTCTGAGGAGTCACCAGCCGCTGCGAGAAGGCCGATGAAGAGAGCCCGCCACTTGACGCGAGGCGCGCCTACCGCCCTAAACGTACCAGGGGTATCCCTGAATCCAGGATATTGGTGCAGATGGTCATCAGAAGGATGGCTACTGGGAACCACAGGGGGCATCTCTGCTTAGAAAATACCAGACTGGCTTCGAAAAAGCTAGATGATGCACACTCCCAGGCCCATTGATCACCTCTCTTAATGGCACTCTGTTGCATACATAGTAGGTACCTATATGCATTGACGTGGCTGGCTGCAATTGCTCCTGTTCTGAGTGACAGACGGGACTGTATTGGTACTAGTACTGTAGTGAGCTTCTGCTGCAGCTTACTCCGTACTTCCACATGTGCATACATGAAGCATGCAAGTCATGGAGCATCGATTATGGAGCTCAAGATTGGCTCTCGGATCACTCTTTGCAGTCTGGGGTGGCTGTAGAATTGTTTGCCCGCGTTTTTCGTTAAGCCTTGGTTGGCTCGAGATCGCCCAACGCCAGGCCGATGGATGCATGCTGCTGCGTTTCATCTTGCGGCACGTCCCTTGAAGGTGGTCTTTGAAGAATTTTCTTTTCTTTTGGCACTTTTAGCCACATGTGAAGTGACCTTGGCAGTAGCTCTAATCGGCTTAGTGCCAGCATACTAGGTATCTGGGAGGCTTGAGCTTAGGGCCGGCAATGATTTCGTTGTCTCGCCTGGCGGATGAGAGATGCCGGCTGGTTAGTTTTGGAAGTGTGCATCTTGAATAGAGAAAACAGGATATAGCGGGCGAACGAATGATGTCTAAATACCTACCTAGTACCTAGACTAGTAGCTGCCAACCTAAGGCAGCGAGCGGCTTACTACTAATAAGGCATCCGTACCTACATCCGTGCCGTAGTAGCAATTTTTGCTTACTGCCGCTGTTAACAGTATTTGTACCTGTAGATCTGCCTGCCTGATGCCTACAATGGCAGGTACCCTGATCTGCACGGCAATCGTTAGAGAAAAGTCGAAATCACCTTCTCTCTTCTCTTTAACATGTGTAAGGTGCTTACTCCCTAGGCTCTAAAAGGCTTATGCCAAATCTTCTTTACCCTTCTAAACAATCTCTGGATAATGATGGCCAGAGTACCTTATTCGGCTGATAGGTATACGTACCTTATCCTCACACATGGATTCTGCATAGATTAGGCGCTCTCAGTTCACAGCACCTACAGAGTGCTTCTACCTGCTGCCACATTAGACATTATAGCTACCGAGGTAGTTGCCTAGGTGCATACATAGGTAGGCAAGTGCATGCAAGAATTCTCGATTTACAACGGGGTGACAAGATGTCAAATCGTGCGTTTCAAGGTCCATCTGTTATCTGATCGCACCTGTAGGTACTAGTTCGAAGAAGCTGGTGTAAAGCAAGCGAGTACATTGGCGCTGGTTACTCTCTTCTACTCGAAACAAAGGCGGCCATCCCGATAGTCCGATTTCAGTGGCTAGCAAACCTGGAAGATGATGCATACAAGTCGGTAGGCAGTGTATATACATATAGCTAGCGGCTACATCTAAACCCTGTTTCAGCACGGACTACCTAATCCATGGAGCTTTTTCCATGGACCCTAAGCAGAACCAGCACAAAAGCGGAGTTTAGCCCACAGACACGGCAGCCACAATCAAGAGCCCCTACCGGCAACCGCTTGTATGTACAAACTTGCAGGTCTGGGAGGAGGGTTGCGGTGCCTGGGAGCATCCTCGGAACGGAGCTCACAGACGGCCAACAGAGCGCCAAAGCAACTTACATGCCTGCTATTCATCCCTGTGCCACCGATCCTGCAGTTCTTGCTACCCGTGCGGAATGCATGCCCCGTAGAGGCCCAACATATACTAGGTAGTAGGTGAGCCAGGCGTGTTGTCCACATCAACCATCTCGGACGTGATAAAAGCTCAAAAGTCGCGGGCAAATGAAGCAGTCAGGCTTGAACAGATATCTGCCCAATACCACCACCTACTGTATCAGTAATGCTACTACTACTACTACTACTACTACTACTAGTAGGTAGTAGTACTACAGGTAGGTACTTGGGTAGGATGTATAGGCGAGTGCTATTGCAGTTCTCACAGATGTAGAGAGTACTGGGTCGCGCATGTGCTCACTCGGGGCCCCTCAGGCAAAGCCGACACGCAAATAGAAGTTCCGGCCGGGCTAGAGCCATTATTACGGCTCGACGGGGTGGCTTGCTTCCGAACTTGCACGCTAGCCAAGGAGTACATGGTACCTTACAGGTTTTGCGCTTGAGTACTCCGTACCCCAGTACTTGCGGCATCCATTTCGATTTCGATACAGGTGACTGCATACACGTAGGCAGGCAGGTGTTGCACCCTGTAGACACTTGAACAGGATGACAGCCATTGATGCAGCGCTAAAGCCCGAGCACACAAATGCTGCTGCCGCTCCATTGGCTCCAGACTCGTGCGGCTTGATACGAATTGCATTGCAGACGTGCCTGCTTGCACGGGGCATCTGTGTACCCGTACCGGGTCCGTAGACGCAAGTAGCGCTACCTGCAATCGCCAGGCTCTTTTTCGCTTGTCGCTGGGCTGGCTCCAGAAAGCGCCGGCGCAGATCGGTGCCAAACCGGCTAGGACCCCAAAATTCCCCCAGGCCGTAGCAGCCCACAGTGGTGCCCGTACCTGTACCTGTACCTGCACTCCGTACTACCTGTACGGGGCACTGCGCGACCCTTTTTCCTCCCCTTTCGAAATCCCCTCGATTCTTCGCATTTCGCATCCTGCATTCTGCACTGCATCGCGCAGCACCGCTTGAGCAGGCCGTTCTCTTGCACTGCGAATGCATTCGTCCGCCGCGTCGACCACAGCTGGCAGTCCAGTGCTGAGTTGTGGTGTTTGAATCGCCTGCGGGACCACGAGCATCCCAGAGAATAATCCTCGACCTCTGCGGCGCCAAAGGGGCTCAGTAAACCCCCCTCCCACTGCAAACGCCTTTTTTTCTGTCCAATCCCACGAACAGCGCTCTCCAGCCGACAACGCCCTTTGCGTCTTGCATTTCCTCCCTTGAATAGACCAAGGACAAGAAAAAGTCCTTGCTTGTGTCTTGGTGCGTAGCTGTTTCACAGCCTTCCTTGGTTGCAGCGGCAGTGATGCCACTAACCGGCCAAACATGTTCCATAGCCTGTCCTGCATGCCCTTACTAACGTTATTGCAGCATCCAACGTGCCACGCGCCGTTCACCGACCATAGACTCTTGTGTCGAGACGAAAAAAACAAGAGACATATAGACATTAGCACAGCAGGCGAAGAGAAACTAATAGTCATCATAAGATTGGTGCAACCCGTTGAGGGGCTACCATTGCACATCGCCGCTGCTGTTGAAGCACCAATCGCCGCATCTACGCCGAGAGTTCGAATAACTGATATGACATGGAGGGCTCATCACCTCCCCTGGCGGAATACTTCTGGATCGCCGGCATAGAGGCGGTGGTTTACGATGAGTCCTTGCCATCAGTGAGCCACTCTGTCGAGACGACAACCATTGCTGAAGACGGAGAGCCTGAAGACGAAGAAGACGCTGCGAGCAACCATACCAAGCCACAGTCTGCTCGCCATTCTCGTCAGAATTCTGCCACTCGCTTCTCTAGGCTCTCTCTGGACGGCCGAAACTCTGTTGATACTATCGAGGAGGATGACGGCAACACAAGAAGCAACAGGAGCAGTGCCACAATCAAGGCCAAGCCGGCCGCTGCTAATGGCAATGGCATCCCTAACGGTGATGGCACCAACCCGGGCGGCTCCATGGGCGAGTTTCTAGGTCTTATGGGGGACTTTGATTTCGACAAGGCTCTCCTAAAGTTTGCTGCAGAGCGAGAAAACTTTCTGGAAGACCTTTCTTTCAGTGCTGGAGCGAAAACCCAAGCGCGACAGCCCATGGTGAACCCTCGAGCTGAGCGCATTCGAGCCGACGACGCTGACCCCAGCGGAAGAGTCAGCCCCCTGAAGAGCATCAAGGGCAGCATCCGCCGCAAGATCAGCTTTAGAGATATGAACAGCCTGCGGAAGCAGCCCAGTGTCGCCAGACCTATGTCGCAGAGAGCTCGTGAGTGTTATCTCTCATCCCTCCCCCCTCGTATCGTACAAAGCTTGTCATTTATTCTAACCTGTTCTTACCACAGCCTCAATACGCACAACGAGACGACTGAGCAACTATAACTCTGTAATCCCTCCTCCCGAACCACTAAACACCGATCCAGACATGCATCCTCTGAAGAGACGATTTGAGCCTATGCTCCTCGATCGGTACCCGCCCAAGACTGCCATCGACGAGGTTGCTCGGCGAGGCAAGTTCCCCGACTATGTGCCCATGTTTGCTTTCCCCAACGACGTCCAAATTGTCTCGTCTGATGATCGGCCGCGGACGACGTGGCACGGGTTCACCATGACGTCTGATGATAACTCTAAGCTCTATGGAATCGCACTCATTGTGTGGACAGCGCTGCCTGCCGATGTAGCAGAGGCTGTGGAGCATAAATGCGAGGAATGGCGACAGAGCCACATGTCCAATGAAGAGCGGGAGCTCGCTGCGAGCTTGGGAGTGCGCTTAGCCAGCGAGCGATCGCATTTGTCCCAGCTCTTATCAAAGCTTGGGACAATTCCCTCGGGAACCCCTGCTCGGGATAGGCTTGAGGATCAGATTGGAACTGTTGAGGAAAAGATCAGCCTCATGACGGATATGCTTAGACCGTTGAGACACGGTGCAGCTTCTAGAATTGAGGGTCTTACCACTGGCGAGAGTGGACTCTGGGCTCCGCGTGCTTATGGTATCCTGGGACGAGACCCTGCAAACATGGCCTTCTGGAAAGAATGGCTCAAGGCAATTGTTGTCCCCATGACTGATGGTGCTGTGCTCAGAATCCCCCCCAGTTCCCCCAAAGTAGGCCGATGGCAGCCTTTGGAACAGTATGTTGTCAATCTATGCACAGAGGCCTTTAGCCCCCTAGGCTCCAAGACCCAAGTTGAGATTGGTGTACGGGAGCTGCGGCTTTATGCTCGTAAAGAAGCAGCGAATGAGCTTCCCGGGTCCCGGACTATTGACATATACGCTTTATTCAGATGTCTCTCTCTTGAGAACATAGTGGCTCTCTTTGAATACGCCATGTCTGAATCTCGCATCATCTTCCTCTCCTCACACACTAGCATGTTGCACTTGGCCTGCCATGCGATTGCAAGTCTTTTGTACCCTCTGAAATGGGCAAGCATTTTCATCCCAATATTACCTGCTAGGCTGATATCTGCCCTTGATGCGCCTTGCCCGTACATTGTTGGTGTTGAGCGCCGCTACGAGCGAATTGATCTCCCTGAAGATGATTACGTTCTGGTCGATCTTGACAAGGATACCATCGATGCCACATCACAGCCCAACCGCCTACCGCGACAGCATCGCCGAAAGTTGATGTCATTGCTGCAGGTAGCGGCTCCTCACAAGCTGCGCTATGGCGTTACCACCGGACCTCCTCCCTATGCAATGGAGGCCTTCCCGTATGATTCTTTCTCGTCGGAGAACGCATCTCTATTCACTAGTGTCGCTCCCCCCGCGACTCTCGGCAAATGGGTGTCTCAAAACTCGTCAAGCTTTGCGGACCCTGATCCCCCCACTGAACTGCTGCCTCCGGCCTTTAACGGATTTTCGCTGTCCTCTGTGGACAATGGCAAACCTGATCGGCCAGGAACCAGCAAGTCAAACCAAACCAGCCCTCAATCCTCCGTATCTCCAGTATCGATGAAATTCCCTCCCATGCCGTCCACCCCGGTCTCACGTAGCGACTCAGGGTTCGCCTTGACTGCGACACTAAGGGAGAAGCGATCTGGGCATTTTGGAGAAGACAAGGGCCGACGAAGCTCATCTTTTGGCGTCGACAAGGCTCAGCCCGTCCATCGACCCAGTCTTCCATTCTTGAATGGCCACCAGACAAACCTATCTATCTCGACGCTGGATTCTGGATCTTCTTTCGGAGGAGGTTATGCTCCTTCGACATATGCGGCCTCAACTCTGGCGGCTTCGACTATTATGCCAAGCATGCAGGTTCAGCCAGTTAGTAACACTGATACGACGGTCTGGGTAGAGGGACACTGCTTCAACTGGAATCCTAAAGACACGGCTTCTGTGTGCACAATTTGTGAAGAGAGATCCGAAGGTGACGGATTCTACAAGTGTGGAGCGTGCAAGACTGTGGCCCACGGCCGATGCCTGGGCTTCGTATCCTTGGTTTGCACTGAGGCTTTCCATGCTGACCGGGTCCGGGCAGCCTTTGTACGATGCCTCGCCAGTTTGTTGTACACGTACCGCAAATATCTGGGCAAGCCGTCAAAGCAGCACAAGAGCAGCGGTCAGTTGTATACCTTTGACATGGATGGGTTCATCAAGAGTCTCCCTTACGATCAACAAGAATATGTCACGATGATGCGGGAGACACAAGGTAAGCTTTGCATTTAATACTTCACCTATTTTTCCTGGTATTAGTTTCTTTTTACTAATCATTCCTGTTTCTTCTTAGCCTTTAACGAATTCATCCATGAAAGAGAAATGAAACTTACTTCTGACCCCGATATCCGACTCTTTGACGAGATCATCATGGCCAAGAAGGGCCGTGGCCGCACTGGCCTGCCTTCCAGCCTATCCCGTCTGTCCACTCTCCGTGGCGGCGGCGGCACCAACTCGTGGGGTCTCTCGCCTTCAGGCCGCAGCAACACCGGTGGAGCTGGCAGCGGCGCCAAGATTCCCCCTTATCTTGGCGATACTTCAGAGCACATCTGGCGCACAGCCTCCGTGCCTCTACCCAAGGGCAACTTCCCCGGCGAGTATCACACTATTGTGACTCGCATGCCGGCTCGTCTGGACAGGTCGCTCATGCGTGAGCCTCGCGCTATCCAGGGAGTTCCACGCATCGAGCCACGTGGTCCCAAGGGGGTTGCTCGGAAGCAGGTTCCGAATATGCTAGGTGGTACACCTCAATGAGGGCTTTCCCCTCGCAGATGACAATCTTGGCATTCAGACAAAAAAGGTGAAGAGGATGAAGGGCAAAATTTAAATGTATAATAGAATCACTACGCATCGATGTAATCTATTGTCGAAATCGCAACATACTCGCGGATGGGTCAAAGATAATTTTATTGTTAACAAAAAAAAGACACCGGCATGCATGGATTCATTCCGGGTGAGGAGAGAGGCATACGATGGCATATAACCAATTTGTTGGTTGACTGGTTGACCTAAATGGCGTGGGAAGCTCAGGTTTTTTTTTTTTAGAACACACATTTTTGGCAGGGGAGCTCTTTGTTAATTGGACTATTTCGATTCTTCGTTTTCTTAATTTCATACATGAATTTGTGTTTTCTTCTGCATCTGCTGTCCTTCCTCCCACCTTTAACTTCAGGAAAGACCAGTCCATGTATAAACATTAGCAAAATTTGCTGGTGCATGAGAACTAAATAGGTAGATACAATAACAATCGGTCAGAGTGCTGTTCAGTGCATCTGACAAATAAGGCTCAGTGTCGAAATACGAATAATGCACCTTCAGTTGTGAAAGACAATTCGTTGGCGTGAGCCCCTGAACAAACCGGTGGAAAGTAAGGGGCTGAATAAGCAAGGAGGGATACAATCTGATAAACTTCACTTTCCCACTTTAATAGCATCTGTAATAGCATCCTCCCAGCCAATGTTCTTCAAAATCTGACTCACCTGGCTTTGATAGGTCAGATGACCGCGAGGAAGGGTTTTCATTCTGTAGTTTTCGACTCCATCTGCTCCCTGGATCTCCTGCAGGCCAGCGACGCCAAACTGAATATTGGCAGTTCGATATAGGAATCCGAGCATGTAGTCGTGCTCTGAGTATACGTTGACCAAACGACCGCACACAACACTCTTGAGCGTCAGCCATACACGACTCTCAGAAGGTGCTGGGGTGCCCATCATGACAACTGAGTCGATGACTCCAAATTGTCGACGCTCTGCTAATACCATGAGACACGTGTATATGGCACGGGCCCCAAGACCGTATCCAACCAATGAAACCGGCCTGTCTCCATGAAATTTTTGTCGCATGATGGCATCAGCAAATACAGCACCAGCCTTCTCTGCTCTGACTATGGCAACATTCCATGGATTGTCCAAGATCTTGCTGACCTTGAGCAGTGAAATGGGCCAGACGGCGTCTACAAGGCTCGAGAAAACTGAATGAATGTCATTAGCATCAGCGTCTACAATTATAACGATTCTGGAAAACATATACTTACTTGTGCGAGCTTTAATCTCTGCCTGGGCACTGCTCCAAGAACTGCTCTTTATAACAGTGTCAAGGGAGCTGCCAAGGCTTGTGAGAGCTGCAGTTTCCCACCTTGTGGCGAAAGTTTCGGTATAGCGACCCAAACAGTGCCAAGTTTTTGTGATGTCTTCATCCCCAATGATATATCCACCTATAGCAATAGTAAGGCAAAGCCTGCGGTGCTCGGCTGGGATGCCTCGAGGGTCACGGTATTCAGATACATCCGTGCTCTGAATGGGAATGAATGCAAAGTCGGTAACCTCTCGTGCGAAATTCTCCATCATCTTGCCTAAGGGCTTTAAAGTGTTGATGCCAAAAAGGCTGCCGATAGCGAGTGCATTTTCGGCCATTATGCCTAATAGGCCTGCCGCTGTAAATGAAGTGAGTCCAAGACCACCGTGAGCCGCGCCGATACCAACGGCGGCAAGAGGAGCGGCCAGCTTCCCCGAATGGTTTCCCAATCCAAGCTTCCAGCGCCGTGAGGTCTTCGTCTCCTCGCTCTTTTGTGCAATCGCATCTTCTTCAGAGAGATCAAGGGCTGTCCTGGCTAATCCACGTGCAAGGCGTAGTTCTTCTTCTCGATACACCCAAGGTGGAAGGTTCAAAGAAGTCGCGAGGCTTTGTATGAGGTGCCTTGCATTTGCTGTGTACTCTTGCATAGATAGCAGAACGAGAAACACAATGTGCAACAATAGCCTACGCTTGTCCATATCCAGGGTCCATAGAGCGTTGGGAATTGGGGGAAATTGAGCAGCCAGGTTACGGTCCACATAGTTGGACGGTGCGCGTGGTGGTCCTAAACAATGATTAACATATTTATATCTAGGAACAGGAAGAGGAATTAAAGAAGGCTCATCAAACCTGTTGCCAGAGTCAGGGGGGAGCGCATTATGCCGCCACCACGACCAATTCCACCTCGTCCTCGAGGCATTCCTCTCATTCCACGTCCACGACCACGAGTATTTAGTTGAGAAACTGGTTGATCCTTGACAGCAATATCTCGAACCCGCTGCAAAACCATGTTCTGCCATTTACGGAAGAAGATCAAAGCCTCCTTCTTTAGCTCGCGCAGCTGCGGCGTCATGGCTTCTTTCTCCTCTTTTTCGATGATTTCATGAGGTCTATTAAATGTATTTGAGGAACCAATTCGCTTCATTCCAATAAGTGAATGGGTTGCTGGTTTGTTGTCTTTTTGATGGTGTAGGGGAAGCAGAAGCCAGTGGTGGTGACCATGGTCACTTTGAATTGGAGCAACTGGAGGGGAGTCAAAGATATTGCTAATATCTCTAGCCATCCTCTCCGTAATGGCATTGACTAGGGTTACCAAGTCATTTTTCTCGGCTATTGAGAGGATTCCAGTTAAATCGACTGGTCGGCGTTGGCTATGATTACCACCTCCACGTCCTCGAGCCATGACGGGGCGGCTTATAATTTCTCGCACTCAGCGACCTCAGGGAAAAGAATCTAGACGAGATGCAATAAATGCGCGCTTCTAGTTTCTAGAGAGCCTAATAAGCTGATTAATTGACGAATTTGAGGAAAAAGACACTGTAGAGGTCCGTTCCGTAAGTGACGAAGATTTGGTAGACGAGAGGCTGGCCAAAGACAAGTGAATTCTTGAGGAGTTGAATAATGAGCGCCAAGTTTTCGATCAACAACTGAGAGAAGAGATCAGATGAAAAAGTCTCTCAAGCGATGAAAGGAAGAGGCTGAGAGACTGGCCAAGGCTGGCCAGATGCTATGAGGTCGTAAAAGGAGATGGAGAAAGAATAGGTGCATATCACTCGTCGAGGTTGTGGCCGAGAAAGACAAGGTCAATCTGATTTGGGAGAAGTTGAAAAGCGCGGAAATGGGAAACGAAAGAAACAACGTAGAGGAGAAAAGCGAAGAGAAAAGAGAGTCTGGACAAAAAGTGAAGTGAGCAGGAGTTGAAGAGAAGGAAGGAGCGCTGGTGAATTTGGGACTGACAGGCTGCCAGGTGGCTGCCAGTTTCCGATTCTAGAACAAATGGCAAGAGTAAACAAATGCAAGGAAGCCGTATATAGAAGGAACGAGCACAGAAGAGACGAGGACAAGCACAGAAGGGCAAGAATCATGGAGGAGGCAGGCGTAAAAGAAGGGTGTATATGAACGCAGCGTATTCCCATTTCTATCCTTAGGTGGCTTGAGATTAGGTAGGCATATAGGATGTAAGACGTTTAAACAGCAGAAAACAGCAAATAAACACAGAGACGGGGATCTAAAAGCGCATCTGGGGGGGCAAACAAAAGCAAACGTCACTTAATCACATACATTCAAAAACATTCACCGAGAATATTGTCGTACCAACGAGGGCAAAGAAAAAAAATACAAGAAAGTTAACTTTTGCGCGCCCGATAAATGTACCAAGCAACCATGTAGCAGAAGAAAAGGAAGGAATAGTCACTACCAAGATATCAACAGCCAGACACAGCTGGAAACGGAGGACAAGACAAAGATATCAAGGCCACAGCCACAGAAATGCGGAACTGCTAGAATTCGGTGCACCCGCAAAAGTTGCAACGGAGGTGTGAGCCGGGCCGCCCATTACATGTTGGAAGCCGTCTCCTGGATCTGGCTGGATTGCCTGGTAGAAGATGAAGATAATCACAGGTTGGCGATACAGTGAATAGACGGATAGGGAGAGAAATGCAACAGGAAGTAGATAAACAGAAAGAAAAGGTAATATATAGTACTAGTTACGATGGTAGAAAGGAAAATGAGAGGCCCTGCTGGTTGGAACATCCCAAGCGGTGTGCTGGAGTAGAGCCATAAAAAGGGTGGATGCATCTTCAGCACAAAGAAGGCGGCAGGACGTGTGATGAGCAGCGGGACAAACAAGCCACTGTGCCCCTTTCTCTTTTGCTTCATCCGGGTATATACAGCATCTTCGCCCGAGCCTCGTCAACTTGGGAAAGTGCTCTGTGTTGCTGGAGAAACATCAAGCTACTTAAACCCTGAGCCGATTCACGCTTCTAGCCCTCCATGGCAGTGCATCTTGTGAATATGGATAGCATGTTACTGATGCTATCACGTTGTCACCAAACATCATTGAACCGAGTGTGGCAAGGTGATGGCATGACAATCAAATTTTAGCTTGACAACGAAGCGTCTGGTTGTGATACAAATGTGTAGCACGAAGAAGACCTGGATATCCGGCAACAAACATGGCGGAAGCGGCTTTTATCCCGCCTACGTTAGTTTGTCTGCTTAAGCTACCGACGCAGCTTCAAAGTAGTCTATAAAAATAAGTCAAGGACGCCATTCTAAATCACTGCCACTATATCTGAATGAGTTGTTTACAGACCCGTCTAGTTTACTACTACCTGCTCTCCTGTTTCCCCTTTCCCCCTCCTTTTCTTTGTCAATGCCCGTTCATCCAGACTGATACGTCGTAGTTAACACTGTCTCTGGGATAGCGTTCCTCCTATTGGCTTCCTTCCTATTCCACAGGTGAGCCGCATATTTGTTCAGTACCACATAGCTCAAGCTGCCTCATTTTCACAAAGTTATTCTCCCACGTAGGTGCTGCGCGGAAATCGCAATCAGTTTGTGCGCCCGAAAGACGCACAGCGTGTTAGAGTATGCTACTGGCAGCGGACTCCGGTTCCGCGCCTTATCGTCGTACAGCAAAGTTATACAGAAAAGTTGACTGCTGCTTGTAAGGCACTCACTGTAGGTATTAGGGATGGGCTGGTAATTCCGGCGGAACACGGCACTTTTCGATAGTTGCAAGTAGCGTCAAAAGTCCTTTATCGAAGATGATGAGACTTGCAGCGAGAAGAGATAAACTCATTCGCCCAGCTCATGATACCTCACATGAGCAGGCAGCGCAAACAATGGTATAGAGTGGCCACAGATTACACAAATGGAACCATCTGAAGCCTCCCAAGATGTGTCAGAATCTAAATCTTCAGATATAGCGTCTCCCATTTCGTCTTCTGCAGGTTTCTCATCTTCGTCGGTCGCCTCAGATGTAATCCTCCATGGGGCAAGTACTTCATCCTGCTTCTTGAACATGACTGCAATGTCTCGTCCCGCTCCCATCTTGTCATCAGTAGCTCCGGCAACCATGTTTGCAGCGCAGATATTAATCAGTTGTAAATTCCACGTCTGACCCTTTTCACTCTGTAAGCGGCGAAGGAGTGGCAATAGCGCTTCCGCGACTAGCTGCTGAGCAATCTCATCAATGTCAGCCTTTAGGTCAAACACAAAACCTGGTAACGGTCCTGACCGAGACACACGGCTGGAGTTTTGAGTTTGAGAGGCATCCGACTTCGGCCACGATCGAGTTGAGAGGCGAAGCGTCTTTGGCCTTGCAATCCATTTTTGACTGCCTGGTATATCTGAGCCGTGGTCTAGGATAGTAAGATCTACTCGCATTCTCCGGATCAGAGAGCACGATAACTTATGAAGCTCTTCTGTGATTCGGGGTATCGTTTGAAGACCTCCGTACGTGTCTTCAATGCTGATTTGTGAAGGGACATCGCTTGCTTCTTTAACTTCTGTGGGGTCCACGCCGTGAAGAAAACCCCAGACTCGAGTTCCGATACCTCTTTCCGCGCCCGGCCCGCCCAAAAGCACCTCAAGAAAGGACGGTGATATGGTTGGATGGAGACGAGCTTCTCGTGCCGTGACGTGAGAATCAAAGGGACCAGTATCTTCAAGCTCCTTGGACATGATGTGTGATTCAAGCAGGTGTGTGATCTTGGAGCCCATTCCTGCAATGTTGCGAAGCTTGTGCCCATCCACAAAGCTCACGATATCATCATCGGTTAAAGCAAGCAGCGTTGTCTGATTACTCGGCTTGTTCTTGCTGCCGACAAGTTTGCTCAGGAGTTTATTAGTAGAGATGCCACAAGTCGATGTGTAACCAAAGTCTTTCTCTAGCTTTAGTCGCAAGTATTGTGCAAAGTGGGAGCCCAAAAGGTGTCTCAGATACGTAGGGCTCTCTAAATCCACGCCCTCGACGGTGACACCAGCAACACAGCCTGCAATAGAGGTTAAGTCGCATGGAAAGCCTAGTTCAGGGTCCTTATTGGATAGGTAAAAGAACGACTCGGCCATTGAGGCTCGGTTAAGACACGACATGTTGTAGTCGATGATATCCGTCACATCTATAGGGCTTGTTAGTAAGTGTAAGTTTAGCTGTTGGATTGATCTTGGACGTACCTAAGAAGACTTCATCAAACCCCAGCCGTTCCGCTTTGCCATTCCAAGAATGAGATCTCAGAAAATTGAACAAAATCTTGCTGACATCGCGAAACGGTGTCAAATCCTCGCCGTCTACGAGCACGAGATCGGGACATATCTTCTTCGCCTCGGAGATGAGCATCAGCTTCTTGACATTCTGGCGACGTGCATTGTAGTTGCAGGTGGCCAAAATGTTCTTTTGCTTTATGCCAAGCGGCTTTGACCTCAGAGCCGGGTTTTTGTTCTCACAAACTTGAGCGTAGAAGCAGTCATAGTCCTGTGCGTTTGGTCAATACGTGCAATCTTAACTTGTGTGGCCGTGGAATAAGTAAACATCCCGCGCCATGCAGTGTCGCTGCATCGCGACGGGCGTTAAGACGGTGAGACGGACAAACTGCAGAATGATTCGGTCTTCTTTGCGTTTTGGCGGTCTTTTCACCACCCTGCCATCCATATTTCACGCGGCATCTTCCCGAGCTGCTGGCTCTAACCCACGGCCAGCTGAGGGCTGAATTGGTGTCTTATTGGTCTTGAATCAAAGGGCTGTTGGCTACAAGTATATTGACATTGTATAGAACAATGCACAGGCAAGACGTTTGTCAACGCGATTTGGTGAATTGCCGTGAGCTGGCCCACCAAGTTCAACGATGCTAGGGCTCTGCGCCAATCAGGGGTCTCGAACGACGCCCTCAGCGTAAGCTTCAGTGCTCTTCCGCCGCTAAAGGGCGCTGAAGCGGCCGCTGACAGCCGCTAGATTCCAAACCAAGATCGCCGGTGCCGGCCAAGTTGCTGCCCCTCCATCAGTAATAGCAGTTCAGAGCCCGATTTGGTGGGGTCGCATGCGTTCGAGTCACAACTCCAAAGATTCTCGGCTCTTACATGTTGCCATTGGGTATCGCAGACTCATCTGCCACATATGCGGATTCTGGACACAGACGCTTTGAGATTCTCAGTCTGAGGTGCAGCGCTTTCTTCCCATACACACCCTTCTTTTATACCTCGCTTCTCTTCTTCACATCCTAGCGATGGCACATGTGGTAAGCTAGCCAGTCAACTTTTTTTTTTTCCTTCTTTCCAATCCATATAAGAGCTACCCAAAGTCTTCTTTTTGTCTGCCCTTTGCTGTTTCTCCGTGCGCTAATATCGCGACTATTTCTTGCCACGGCTATAGAGAAGCATCGTTCCGTCACTTGACGCCGTCAGGGACATCCTGAACAAGCCCGCCAAGGACGGCGTAAAGAAGCCGACCCTCGTGCCGGTCTATCGCCAAATCTCCTCCGACCTTATCACTCCCTCCGCCGCCTACCTCAAAGTCTCGGCGCATGCCAAGTCCACATCCTCTGCCTCCTCCACATACTCATTTCTGTTCGAATCAGCAGCCACCGAACAGGTCGGTCGATACAGCTTCATCGGCGCCGGCCCGCGCAAGATCCTGACCACCGGCCCCGGCTATGGCGAGGAGAAGGACCCGTTGCCTGCGCTTGAGGCGGAATTGGCGAGCCATGTCGTTGCGCATGTGCCAGGATTGAGACTGCCTCCCATGGCAGGAGGAGCGATCGGCTACGTTGGCTACGACTGCGTGCGATACTTCGAGCCCAAGACGGCGCGGCCGATGAAGGACGTGTTGAAGATTCCCGAGTCTTTATTCATGTTGTACGATACGATTGTGGCTTTTGATAGGTTTTACGGCATCATCAAAGTCATCAGCTACGTCAAGGTCCCCACGGATGGACAGACAACCCTGGAAGCGGCATATGACGAGGCGAAGAAGACGATTGACGAGCTGGTGAATGTTCTCAACAGCCCCGAGATTCCCCTGCCAGAGCAAGGTCCCATCGAGCTGGGCCAGGAGTACAAGTCCAACATCGGCCGCGAAGGCTACGAGGCCCACGTCACCAAGTTAAAAGAGCACATCGTCATTGGCGACATCATTCAAGCCGTGCCCTCGCAGCGTTTCGCCCGTCCTACCAACCTACACCCGTTCAACATCTACCGCCACCTGCGAACCGTCAACCCATCGCCGTACCTGTTTTACATTGACTGCCAGGATTTCCAGATCGTCGGCGCATCACCCGAGCTGTTGGTCAAATCAGAAGCCGGCCGAATCATTACCCACCCCATTGCCGGAACTGTCAAGAGAGGCCCGACGCCAGAGGAGGACGAGCGCTTGGCCAACGAGCTGCGCTCTTCGCTCAAGGACCGAGCCGAGCACGTCATGCTGGTCGATCTCGCGCGCAACGACGTCAACCGCGTAGGCGACCCATTCACCGTCCGTGTCGACCGCCTCATGGTGGTGGAAAAGTTCAGCCACGTGCAGCACCTCGTCTCCCAAGTCTCTGGTGTCTTGCGCCCAGACCAGACACGATTCGACGCCTTCCGGTCAATCTTCCCCGCCGGTACGGTGTCCGGGGCGCCAAAGGTCCGCGCGATGGAGCTCATCGCCGAGCTGGAGCAGGAGAAGCGTGGCGTCTATGCCGGTGCGGTTGGATACTTTGGCTACGGAGGAGTGGACGAGAGCGGCGAAGATGTTGAGGGCGCGATGGACACTTGTATCGCTCTGCGAACCATGATGGTGAAGGAGGGCGTGGCGTATCTCCAAGCCGGTATGTTTGAGACCAGTTTTCTTTCTTCTCCTTGCTACATTTCATGCTGCACAGTGTTCAAGGAAGGCTAACTTTTGATTGTTAGGTGGCGGCATTGTATTTGACTCTGATGAGTATGAGGAGTGGCAAGAAACCATTAACAAGCTGGGTGCCAACATGCAGTGCATCACTTCAGCTGAGGAAATTTACTATGACCAGCAGCAATCCGAAAAAACGGCATAGACGAGAATAAATCTAAAAAAGGAAAAGAGAGGAAAAAAAAGAAAAGCTTGGGAAGGCGAAAAGAAAAAGAGAAGATTGAACATATATCTGTTTCGGACACCTTAGGAGCATTATGGAATAGGTATAGTCTAGCTGGTGTAATGTGGACTTAACAACGTCCACTTTCTACATCTATCAAATAAAAGACTACTTATCACACGAGATTCCTATTTTAATAGAACCAGAAAGGTATTTTTTTCGGCTGATCAAAGCCTAGTAGTATTGATATATTCAAGAAACTAATTAAAAAAAAAGTTGGTATAATATCTTTTGAAAGATGTCCCCATCCTCCCGTGCTCATAAAGCGGCAAAACGCCCTCATCTCCGTAGTCTCGTATGTCCCATCTCAAATTTACAGTTCGTAACAAGTTCATTTCTCATAAAATGCAACCCGATTTTTGTTTGCTTTGCTTTGCTTGCTTGCTTGCTTGCTTTCCCAATGAAAATGCTACTTCAAAAAAAAAAAAAAAGAGAAGATAAAGGGGAAAAAAAAAAAAAAAAAAACTCCTCTCCCTATGCCTCGTATCGCACCCTATTGCCATTTTTCTCCTGTTTCTAACAGGACTTTGGCTATAAATACATGAAAGCTTTATTATTTTTCTTCTTCTTCTTCTTTATTTTTGACAACCCCCCCCCCTTTTGATGAAACTTCCTCATCAATATGAGCTAGCCTAGCTCACGCTTACGGGTGCGTCCTGCGCCTCAGCTAGCTCTGGAATAGGCGTATCCCGCTTCCGCTTATTGCACAGCGCCCTAGGCTCCGTCGGCGTCTTGATGTCAAGATCGTATCCCAAAGAGGAGGCACCAGAGATGCCCTGGAAATCTTCCGAAACAACGCTGCTAGCGTCGGACATGTCAATGTCAATGGCCGAATCGGCACTGCTCTCGATGCTCGCCGTCGGTGTGTCAGGTACCATCTGAATATCGGGAACCTCCACCGCGGCCCTGGGCACAGCCTCATCGTTGCCAGCCTGCTTGGCCCTGGCCCTTGCAGACGCAGCTGCCTCAGCCCTCGAAGCAGCGATTGCGCCGCCGACGCGTTCGTCATCTTCTTCTTCCTCGTCCGCCACGCCAATCGTCCAGACCCACTGGCGTTTTTTCTCTTTCCGCCTGCGCTTGCGGATGCCACCGCTGCTGCCGCCGGGCGTTGTCGAGGGCGAAGACGTTGCACTGCCACTCAAAGCCGCAAGCTTGCGTCGCATGTCCTCAAAGGGGCCTGGGGTCTGGCCCCCATTTTCGATTTCGTTGGGCGAAAATGCCTGCTTCAGGTTGATTTCCCTGTCGGCTCCGATGGGCGAAAATGACGGCGAGGCAGGTGATGCTTCTTCAACGAGAAGGTCAATGTGTGATTTGGTATACTTGTTGGTGATGATGGTCTGGGTAAGAGGGTTGTTGTAACCCACGCGCTTGGCGGCTCTCTCTTGCAATCTCAAGGACTGTCGCCTTGGTGAAGGGGGGATGGCCGTCCTGGGAGGAAGAGGGGAGTTGCGCAAGATGCTGTGGAGAGTGTGAGGGTGCGTATAAGGCGCCGGAGCACCAGTGTTATACGGGATGATATGCCGTCTTGAAAGAAGAGGCTCGACAGGCGAGCAGGGTGAAGCCACAGTGTAACCCCTGGCTCTGGAAGAGAGATCCTTGGGTGAAAAGGAAAAGGCTTTGGGTCCGTTGGAATCAACAGCGCCAGCTGACATGGGAGGTGTTGGTGTCATGGTGCTGGGAAAGGCAATCTCCATCTGCTGCGGCGGCGAGCCTGACGAATCCGTGGTTGGTGTTGCTGGAAAGTCGGCGACATATGGAGTCTTGATCGGAGTCTTGAGCTTCAGCTTGGGGCCTCGAGACACAACCGGTGTCTTGAGTGAGAGGCATTGCAGAGTGTTGATGGCTGTGAGGGGCTCTGGCTGGACTGGTGTAGATCTCTCGATGGCAGTTGCATAGACGTTTGACAAGGTGTTGCAAGCTGTGCGGTCGGTAGGGTCGACTTGGAAGCCTCTTATCGGCCTGCTGGAGACGGAGGGGCTGGAGGTGTTGATCTTGAGCGACAGGCGCGGCCTCTTGGGCGGGCTCTGGTGCAGCGGCTGAGAAGCCATCATGATGATAGCGACAATGTTCGGTGTTCGATGTCGTATGTAATAATGCAATATCAGGACAAGAGATGGAGTTGTAGATGTCGAGAGGTGAAAGAGGTGGAGTGGGGTTATAGGTGAGTCAACGTTGAAAGAGAAGACGACCTCGACTTAAGGGGGGCGATATCCAGACACACGCTCAATCCAACGATCGACCCAACTGCAAATCGATCAGCAGCCCCAGTCGTACTTGTCCGGAAACTCTTGGTGGTTGCGTGCTTCGTATAGGTGGATGTCAATATAACCTTTGAGCTTTAGCTGTGGGTTAATTTAATTTAATGTAGAGCATAAGACAAGAAGCCAGCCAACAAACAAAGCACAAAGCGGTACGAGTACGGGTCTTATCTACCCCGTACAAGAATAGAAATGCCGCAGAATCCAAATCCAACAGCGCAGACAGGCGGGATCCAGGGCGGCTATATACAGGTGACGACGAAACAACCGCGCATGTTTTTCGTCGTCGACGGCGTTCCATGGCCCAGCTTCTCCGCACTTGTCGCCCAGCTTGCTTCGTCCTCCTTTCTCCTTTCTCCCTGTTTGCGCCACCGCCAAGTGGAACCGCTGGCCTTTGTTCAGCTCCTCCCACGACGCCCAAGTCACATTTTTTTTTTTCTCTCTCTCTCTTCTTTCCCCTCCGGATAGGCGCGAGGGGCGACAAGACGCAACGGCAGACGGGAAGCGGAGACGTCGAGAGGGCCAGGCCCGGTGGAGGGTCGAAAGCGGCCGTGAGTGGCTCGTGTTGCTATTTCCAGCCTGCGGGTAAGCGCTGAGCCTCGACCCCTGCTGCAGCGCCCTGAGGCCAATGGCCCGCGTCTATGCCTCGGACGCTGTAGCGCAGCGGATCGGCCTTGGATGCACGGCCTTTGCTGCTGTCACACGGCGCCGTGCCAATGGCGAGTCGCTGTGCGAGACGCTACAGCAGCCGTCGGCAATCGCAGAGCGTCTGTCACAATGTGGCGTCGCTTGTGCCAAAACACTTGTGCATACAGCCAGACAGACATCCTGTGTCGTCCATTAGTAGTCTCTCGCATCCATGTGCGCAGACGCATGGCACGCTGTTCGTGCAGCAGAAGCGATTCCCACTCCCGATGTCATTTCCGCCACATCTTGTTTGCCACGAGTCCCTCGCGGAACAGGCCGCATCGTATCGTTGCTCAGCATCAAGTGACAAACAGGGACCAGGCCTAAATATAGAATGCAAATTTAAAACTCCACGCAATGCGTCCCGTCCCTGGAGAAGCGATTATTGTGGGGGTCACCGAGGCACACATCGTCGGAAAAAGAGACGGGCCGGCGCACCAATTGCAGCCTCTGCGTGGTGGGTCATGGGCCATCAAGCCATCTGCGGGCATGAAGGAACTTTGTCGGCCCCGAATGAAAGAATTCCTGGGGATTAGGGCTTGTTGGACCTCAGCAGACTTGATTGGGTTTGATATAGCAGCTGACCAGAAACATGCCTTCTGTTGAACGGAATTTAATTTGGTTCCTCAATTTTAATGTTAACCAATCCTTTGTTGGTCATCAAAGCAGCTTGCACTCCGTGCTTTCTCCTTACCGCCGTTTTAGACCTAGTTACATGTAACATGTAAGCCATCAGTTAGTTATACGCCTCATGCAGCGGTAGGATTATCCCAGACCCTAGGGCAAATCCTCCGCAAACGCTTTGCTGGTATCCCCTTCCATCTGGGCAGATTGCACCGGGATGCTACCCTGCCAAAGATTCCAGAAGAAAGAGAATGCATATGTCTCATACCATTAAGCCACTCACTCATGGGGCATTATCCAGAAAAGTTCAAGGGCTGGTGATGGAAGCCAAAATAGGAATATGCCACTACTACGTGGTATGATACTTGAGCTAGCATCGTACTAGGGGGTACGTAAAAACTTGTTTCAAGACATAAATAGCAACATTGGTTGATTACACTCATACATACATGGTACCTACTACTGCTACGTGTAAGAATCCTGGTGTAGAGAGCCAAATAGGAATGGTTTGACTCCATATATGAGCCCATCTTGCATGGTATACTCGAGAGATGCTGCTCCATATTAAGTAGGTAAGAACCTATCAAGTTAGCTGATGACATTCGTTTTCTGCTAGTAGCACTCACTCGACTTATATGACGTCATTTGGCTATCCTACCATACTTGAACTCATGGCTCTCTGGTTTATATTGCCTTTTTGCAGGCCCAACATCGAGATGTGCTAAGCTCTTAATAATATACTGATATTTTAAGCTGTCGTTTATAAACGACATCCAATGATTAGAATAGGTAAGCTACGTATACTTTCTGTAACCACTCCCATGTCTAAGCTCCCACACTACCACGTATACGCTCGCATCTACAGAAAAAAAAAAGAGAAAAAAAAAAAAAAGCCACATGAGAAATACGCAATTCCTTCGACGACCCACAGATCTTGATCGTACTGTAACAAGATTTGTGCAAAGCAGATATTCAGGCACGGATGCCGCATATGATATGTATTGATCAACATGGTACGCCGGAAGGAATCAGCACGGCCACATAGGAGGTCTGAGCCAACAGCAAAATAATCCTCCTATATTTAGCTTTTCTTTGATGAAAATAATCTTAATAATATCTAATTACTCTCTCAATCAAGAAGGAAACAAAGAAACAGCCTCCAGCACAGACCAAATGATGACACATCCCCAACGTCTGTTAATGCCAAGTATAAAAAAAAGCACATCAAAGAGATCTGTGAGGACCCTGCCTAGCTGTCAGCAAATGCCCCAGAAAGGGTATGCACTAATCAATGCTCTCCAAGTCTCTTATCTTAAAATTAACTTTACCTACTACATAGGCAAGAAGCATCACCAGTTCGTTAGTCGTGTAAGAGCCAAGCAATAGCTACAAGGTACTATTTATGGTAGGCGACAGAGGGTGGAGAGCACAAAGCAATTTCATTATGTGGAATAGTGTCGAAATCTACAAGGGAAAATAAGCCTGGAGAACATTCCTAGAACGAGCGGTGGGCGATTGATCACCTAGAGCTTGACCCCCTTCACGCTATTTTCTCACCTGCACACAGGCTAACTAACCCCTTTATTTTCACTTCTTCCGAATACAACTATCACCACTGCTGGTAAACCTATCCATGCGTAAATGGCCACCAATAATTAGCTTCTTCAATGATATAACTCAATGCTCGCGGTATTTCGAGACCCGGCTCCCCGGGCCCTGGAGAATTCTCTAGCCATATGCCAAGGTAGTCCCGACACAGCCTAGCAAATTGGCTTCCTGACTGAATAAACATCTTCCCTGTCGGGCCTAGTAAGATCCTTCAGGCTCACCAACGGTAGATGGCTCTGTCTGTACAATCCTCCAAGGTAGCCCTTCAATAACCCCTCTTGGTCGTTAATATAGCCTCACCGCATCATGCTTGCCTCGCTCCAGACTAGTCCTCTTCCCCATCTGGCCAGCTCATTTCACACAACCCTATAAATATTCCATGCCTCGTCGTCACGTCCAGGATCTTAGTCAGATTATTATTCATGCCCCTTTCCCGATCGCGGTAGCTGTCGCGGTACATCAACCAGGCCTTTTTTGGTCTAATTCTCTAATTTATGTCGCGACTCCGAAAATAAGGCAAAAATAGCCAAAGCGATATACTAGTCTTGTAGAGTAACGTTAAATTTGGCGCCGCAATCTCCTTGGACTAGGTCAGATGATCTTTGCTCCCTCTCACTCTCTCTCTCTCTCTCCTCTCTCTCTCTCTCCTCTCTCTCTCTTAGGTATGAGTGTCGGTTCAACGTGCTGTGTCTCGGCCTTCGTAAGCCCTCCATGTAAAATGTATTAGTTAAAGTCATGTATAGCCTAGCTTTTGCTTCAACCGGCGTGGATGATTCCTTGAGATTCAAGTAAACGCCCCAAATCTCCAAGCTTCACAGGCTTGGTTAAGAACATGTCCATTCCGCTACCAAACGCTTCTTGCTGGGCATCCTCTGTTGTCAAGCCCGAGAGCGCGATGATTGGCACAGGCGTTAATCCCCTCTGGGTTTCGTGAGCTCTGATGTGTCTCGTGGCCTCAAACCCGTCCATGATAGGCATAGATATGTCCATTAAGATGCAGGCGTATGGTGTATCCGAATTTGAAAGGAAGAGATCCACTGCTTCTTGGCCGTTCTTTGCAGTGTCAAATCCAATATTACGCCTTGTTATATAAGTGGACAATACTTTCAAGTTGATGAAGTTGTCATCAACCAGCAGGATCCTGATTGGTGCCTTGGGCTCCTCAGTAGACATTGCAGGTATTTCGACCGTTGCGCTGGGTGGTGCCGGTATTGGTCTATCGCCTCGGGATACTACACTTGCTGATCGACCTATAGAGGGCCTACTAACATTGTTGGCGGAGAATGCACTTGGCATTCTTTTGGGTCCCTTTGGTCGCTTGGCTACCATTGGCGCTGAAGTGGCCGCTGCTGGTGAATTGGAATTACTCATCCATCGCATGTACGCCGAATGTAGTGTTCTGGCAAGTTTACGCGGTCCAGTCCTGAAAATTGCAATATATGAGCAAGAGAAAACCTTGTAGCATGAAAAGAAAAAGAAAAAGAAAAAGAAAAAGAAAAAAGAAGATTGGCAAACTCACGGTTGTGATATAAATTCAAAGACAGCAGCAGAGCCAGCCTTCTTGAACGCATGCGACTGGCGGTACGCCACCAATGCATTCGAGCACACAACTACATTAGGTGTCTTGGAAAATGTCTGTAAATCCTCCTGCACTGGTTTCAAGTCCATATAAGACCACATCACAAGATCCGGCGTCACAGTTGTATCGGGCGTATTAGAAATGATATCCATGTGCAGCCACTCGCGGCAGATGTCGACCACGGCCTTTCGCCATTCGGAGTTGGTCATCAGAAGCCTCACTCGCAACCCTTTGAGATCTTCAACTTGTTCTTTGAAAACTTTATCTTCATCAGAGATGATAGGGGCCGTTCCTAAAGACAGTGGCAATTGTTGCAGCGGGAGAGTGACAGAGGCTATGGTCCCAGCACCAACTTCACTCTGAATCGAGATGTCGCCCTGTAGATGAGTAGTAATCTGCTTTACAAGGCTGAGTCCCAGCCCAGCGCCTGGCGATAAGGGGTCCTCCTGAGAAAAGGGGCGAAAGAGGCCGTGTTTGAGAAAATCAGCACTGATACCTTTACCAGTATCTTGCACTGTGAACCGAACAACACGTTCCTTCTTCCGACTTCTGGTACGGATCATTTCTTGCGTGAGTGATACCGTGATCGTGCCGCGCTTGGTGTGCTTCAGTGCATTGCCAAAGATGTTCATGACTATCCGACGGATGGCTCCGACATTGGCGATGTACCCCCAGTTACATCTCACATCCATTGAGAGTATTATCAATACGTCATCAAAAGACCATTTCAGCTCCCCATTGTTGGTCATCCAAGGCTCAAGTTGGTCTATCGCTTGCAGCGAATCCGACTGATGATTAGCATTCACATCACTGTTGATGGATCCGTTCTGTCGATCTGACAGCTGCTTCACAGATAAGTGTAAGAAATTGAACCCAGCGAAGACACTTTCAACTACTTCTTCGACAATATGATCAAGTCGAGAGTCTCTCAGTAGAGATTTCTTGCCAAACTGGCCTAATTCGAGGCCATTTGATGATAGACTAGGAACCCTATCGTCTCGGCCAGAGAAATGGCTGATCCTAGAATATTCAAGAAGGTGATCTACGGTGTCAAGAAGAGTACGGGAGCAAGTTTCAATGGTGTGGGCAACATTTCCTTGGAAGATGTCGAGCTTGGTATCGATTAGTAATTCCGAGTTGAGCAGAATGCCGTGCAGTGGAGAGCGTAGTTCGTGCGAGAGTGAGCCGAGAGCATCAGTCTTTGCTTTATCAGCTCGCAAATCCTTAAAACGCAGGATTTCAGACATGGCAAGCATTCCAAAAGCCCTCAGGTAACTCAATTCCTGTTCAATAGAAAAGCTTCGGGCCAAGTCCTTGGTATAGATAAATCCGCCAGCATACCATCGATCTTTCCTCGGATCCCAGATAGGAACGAATCCAACACTCCGAGCGCCAGGAAATGCCTTGAGGAGAGCCTCGCCTTCGCGCTGTCGTGCCGAAGACCTCGTCTGTGATTTATCCTGCAAGGATATCAAACTTATCCTAGAGTCGGACGTAAGCAGCGAAGAATGCTCCGCTAGCGCCTCAGGAGACGAAAATGGTTGCTCATCTTCCGATGAGTCTGATTGTAACTCGCCATCAGCTCCAAAGTTGAAAATTTGACCCCTAGGATAACGTCGAATAAGCTTGGACAAGAAGCTTTCTGTCAGCGTTATACGAGGTTGAGCGGGAGCGTCTCCATCGATACTCGATGCTCTCGACGTGGAGTAGCCGAGGAGTCTACATATCGGCATGACCTTACTTCGACGTCTGATTTCAAGGTCTTCCTCGCTGCTACTTGCTGTAGATGTCTGGCATTCTTCCTCACTCGTAGTATTGGTGTGCGTTTGAGACAAATATGGCTGGATTGGAGCCTCGAAAACAAGGCAACCTTCAACCTCGATTGACTCTCGAATAAGATTGGCTGCCTTTGATGTAATAAGCACGGAACTTTCGTCCTCTGTCAAGGCAGCCATGGCCTTGGCTTCTGATAGCATGGCCTCTGAGCTATCCACAGAGAATGTACGCTGATCGTGTTCAGAGAAAGCGTCGATCGGATCCGTCGTATCGTTCGGGTTGGGCAGTTGAGCCGTCGGCGATAATTGGGTTACAACGTCATCTCCAAAATCGTCTCGCTGGTGTTGCTGGGAAGACCGCATGAAATTGGGGCTGTTTGCCAGTGTCTGGCATCCCCCTTCAGTAGGAGGAGATGTTATAGGCTCCTGCCAGTCAAATATAGATGATTTGCCTTCAATAAATGACCCCAAGCCTCGATTCATCCGTATATCTCGCCTATGCAAGACCTTTAGTCTCTGCGCCTCGAGATGATCCATGATAGCACAGGAGATGTCTCGTAACCGTTGAGAGTAGCCATCATTCCAGGACATGTTTGGTGTTTCGTTGATAACACAATATACGCCAATATTGATACCACGCCGAGTTCGGATTGGGACAGCAGCATAGAAACGAGCTAAAGTGCCTGGCTGGCAGAACGGTTTGGCGCAAAACCGAGGATCAACGACGAGATCGTAGGCCAAGGTCAGGGGGAGCTCCTTGGCGGATTCGCCATTGACAGCGTCGAAAGACCGTTCCCCAAGGAGACTAAACTCGCAAACCCCATGACTGCGAGGTATGGCGGTGCCGCATAGCCAGAGGGGGCGTTCGCAGTCGTCACTCTTGATCGATGGACATAGGCGCTGGGTAGGCGTTGCTTCGGCCACGATACACTGGCGGTGGGCGTCGAACAGGGAGATGAGTGACCTATCGGTGCCGGTCTGGAGGGCGCCCAGTTGGGCGAGGCCGGTGAGGATAACGTCGTCGGCTGCCGAGAGCTCGGATGAGGGAATCGGCCGGCCACTCTCGTTCAGCCTGATGGAGCTGAGCAGGGACGCCGAGTATCTGCCACAGGGCACGGGTTAACAGCTGGTTGGACATGAGGCCGGCATGTCAATCGGGCTATGGAAAAGAGAAAAGGAAAAAAAAGAAGCCTCTTACTCGAACGTCTCCCGCTCTCTGGCAGACTCGGACACCAGCCTGACGGGCTTCACCGAGCTTCGGTCCGAAAATGCTGCCATCGCCGTTCCACAACCTCCGCAAGGCGCTCGGATCGCTGGTCACAGGAAAAGATTATAAAGGACCATCTGGAGTGCCGATCACCAAGGACTTTGGGGTCCTATGTGAAGTGCATGTGTGGCAGGTGCCGTTGCTACCTTTTAGCGGAATCAAAGCCCCATGAGCCTTGGCACGGTCACTGGCGCTGTGGGAGCCTCTCGTGGCAGAATTTGCATGGCGCGCTGTAGGCACTCCATCATGCTGCAGCAGCCACCGATACCGTCCGTGACCCGGCAGCTCCAACCCCAGCTTCAGAGCTCCCCGTCTAGCTGCCAGCAGCTCTGACGGCTAATGCCTATCACTTACGGTATCAGGGTGGATCGGCTCAAATCACGGTGCGTTCCGCCGCACCTCTTTTTGGAGCTCAAAGTCAAACAAATCAAAGCTAAATCAAGCCTAAGTCGATTATACTCGCTTCACGGCGCTGCCGGGCACGCCGTTAGAGGTACTCTGGACAGGCCATTGTGGGCGAACTGGTAGAGACAAGTGCTGGTTTCCACTTTATTTACGGAGACTTTGCTCCAGTTAGCCGGCCTCTAGCAGCAATCGCCTTATCTTAGTGCTCTTTCAGTGTTTCTAGCCCCCAATCCAGCAGGTGCGTTTTGATATTTGGGTCGAGTCTTTAGCAGCATCTCGATGGTAATGGGGAATCTCGATGGCAATAGGAGGGCATTAAAAGCGCCACTCGCTATCCCATCGATAGTCGCAGGCACTCTTTTTGCTTTAGATCTATGGTCTCATGCCTTTGCACTTGAAATAGATGACAAAAATATAGAGAAGAGAAGAAAAGAAACACACACGCTCGCACACACAGACAGACCAAAAGAAAAAAAAGAAGCACACAAAGAGAAAGGCGCTCAGCCTTCACCAAAGCTCAACGGAGACGCGTCACAACCATCGCTTATAACATCCAGCTGCCTGCGGGCATCATCGCGAAGCCGGCTGCCCAACTGATTCAAATTATATATAATCTGATTCATGTTATTTCTATCTACACACGATTCCTTAGCTAAAACGTGGCGTTCGGAACCACGGGGCTCTCTTTCTGGATGTAGAATCATGCTGTGCTCTGCAGGCTGCTCGAAGAGGGGTGTGGGAGCCATTAGATCTGACCTCTCCAACTGTTCTTGTTCGTTCGCTTCGCATTTGCCTTTATTTCGTATTGCATGGTATTTGTAGCAGTATGGCCCTTGAGCTCGACTATTATTCCAGGGGAGTAGTGAACCTAAGGCATCGGGATCCCATAACGGGTCAAAGTCGGCGCTGAGAGTGGTAAATGGATCTGATATGTCCGAGAGCTGAGAGGGTGAAGTTACTGGTGCCGTCATCGGGGACGTTGTAGCGGATAGGAAATCAAAATCGGCATCGTCGTTGGGGGTGGAAAGACTGTAATCTGTTGGAGTGACGAACTCAAAGTCGTGAGCCGGCATATGAACTGCTGGAGTACCTGTAGATGTCGCGTTATCTGCTGGAGCGGTAGTCATATCTTCCTGTCGCTCTGAATGGGGTGAGAGAAGCCACGGCACCCGGGATTGTTGCCCAAAATTCCATGCCGTCTGAGGAAATTCTTGCGCAAATTGGCGATTTACTTCTTCATACAGCGAGAGTCCGTCCTGGGCATCATGGCTCAGGGCCCTGTTGGGCTGCATGAGGGACACGCGCCGGATGTCGTACGGTCGCCGATCAGAGCTGCCCTTCTTCACCTTGGTCATTTCGCAGGTATTTCAAAATCAAACTTGCCCGGGAACATGTTGATGAAGGGCATACAAGATGTAGCCACGTTCAATCGAAAGCAGGAATTAAGGGGGAAAGCCTTGCAGCATTCTTACTTACTAAGTGCCCACACCAACAAGGCCGCGGAGCAAACGCGCAATCCATCGAGGGATCGAATTTTTCGAAATCGCATCAATCCTGGATTGCGGCTGACACTGTGCCCGTCACAGCAGCAGCTCGACGTCATTTTGGGCGACTAGGGGTATATGCTGCAAGGCTTGCTGCACGCCTTGATGGCCAGCTTCGTAGGTGGCTATGCGCGTGCCAGACGGTCCGGGGGAAAAGCTCCCGTTCTAAGCAAGAGATCGACGGGGGGGCCAACTGGCGGGAACCTGCTGGATCCAATCACTACGTGTATATGTATGCAGATGCACAAAATATGGAATATGATATCAGGTAGATTAGTAGCAATCATTTCGATCCGCATCTCTTCTGCCAGCAGCCTAAGAGATGACCCAGCTCATAGTTCAAAATGCTTTAAGTGGGGTAAGGGGCGGCGTCTCTGATTTTCCTCCATTCTCAACTGAGCCATCTCTTGCTTCTACTGGCATACATGATATTGCTAATACACACAGAGGTGGTTGGAGAGTTAAATATGATCATACAGAAAAGATAGAAAGATAGAAAGAGTGCAGGAAACGTCCAAAATTTTCTTTCACATGGAAAACATAGAAGTACAGTAAAACTTTAAAATGGCCAAATGAGCAGGTACTCAAGACAGCTATAAGATATACTCGTATTCGTGAGCTTCGCCCGATAGCAATATTATACGACAGAATGCAGATAAGACGCAAGATGACAAATCACTCCTCTCCTTCCAGCAGCATAACCTATCTTCCCTTCAAGCCTCTCACGACTCAACCCCCAGTGCCTTCACTCCAACAATCCTATCCTCTTTATCGTCTCGTGAGATGACCCAATATTCCGCTCTTGTTAGATCCCTCGCAACCCTATAAACCCTGACGTCGTTTCCTCGAGTCGCCTCACTCACAGCATCGATGATATTAGCGTATTGTCCATCCGAGTCCCAGTCGACAGGATCCATAATGTCGACTTGGGCGTTCTCGGCGTCCCAGTGGTGAATCAGTTTCGCGAATTCGACTGTATCAACCCAACCCCATGATATAATTAGCACTCTCTTCTACGTTTTCCTCCCGACGCCATGATTAGGAAAAAGGACACAGCACTTGGAATAACAAACCTTCATCTGGAAGCCCCCCTTCGCCCTTCCACTTCAACGACACCCCCTTAAACGGCTCATCCGCCTCGCTCACATAAAACGCATCCTTCAAAACATCTGCAATACTCTTGGGCAGTACGCTCCCCTCGTCCGTCGTCTTGAACGCCCGCTGTCCCCCGCTCTGGGCCGACGACGCAGCCGCCGCCTGTCCCTCCTCTGCGTCCTGGTTCGCCTTGTTAAGGAAGGCCATGTAGTCTTCGTCGCTCGCCATCTTGCGGGGCTGCTGCGTATTGAAAAATCCTTGACGCTGTGTGCTAGGGATGGATATCCGCGGGGCGACTCGAGCGTGTCGCTGCTGCGAGCTTGTGTTCGAATAGCTGGCTAATCGCTGGCGCTGTCGGACGGACTGGGGTATTCTGGTGTTGATACAAAACCCTCTTCTAAATGACAGGTTAAAGGCGCCACCAAATCTTTGTTGAATGAATGGCATGAGTGGGAGTGGTAGGAAGATATGCGAGTGATGATGATGTTTCTGCAATCAAAGCTCGAGGCCCAGTCAGCTCAAGGTGGGGTGACGTCAACGCGGACGAATCCGTCCACATACCTTGAACCACAGCATAGCAGATCTTGTCTTGTGGGCACTATCAAATTATCCTGGGCTAGTGGAGCGCAGCGAAAATTGCTACAGTGTACAAGTAGAACTATATAACATTGAATTATAGCTCTAAAAAAAAAATTCCAGCCAAGGCGTTGGCTTTGGACGACAGGCTTGCTGTCAATGTTTGCTGAAATTTATTCCAGTCGGGTAGACTTGTAAATCATATGGAAAACATTTCAAGGCACACACACTCTTAGTTGGTCACACATTTTTGTATTGGCGCGGCTACTTTGGCATGCATATATGCGTGGGATTTCCATTATTGTAATAGGAAATCTCATTTGAAATTTTTTCAGACTTCTAACTGAAAAACTTTTTCTTTTCGTGCTCATCCCATTATGGAGCCCAAACCCAGCCCCAGAAAAGCCTAAGGCAAAACCAAATCCGACACCAATGCAATGATGACCCGACGAATAAACTCAAAAAGGAAAAAAATCAGTGCCTCGCATTTATGCGGAGGTGAGATCCTTCTTGAGAGTACCCTGGAACTGCTTCTTCTCCGCAGGGGTCTGGAAAGCACCGTGACCGAACTCGGAGGAGGTATCGATCCACTTGAGGCTGATCTTCTCCAGAGCCTTTCTTGAGGTGTGAGTCCACATGGACTTACGGAGGGTCACAACACGCTTCTTGGTACCAGGGATAGAGCCCTTGACCATGACGAAGTCGTTGTTAACCTCACCGTAGCGGACGAAGCCACCGAGACTGCAAAGATTACGTTAGCAATTATAGATCTCAGTTAGAAGTGTAGTAAAGAAAAACTTACGGAGTGATCTTCTTCTTGGTGACATCGGTCTCGGTGGAGGCGCTGTCCTCAGCGTCACCCTTGCCGATTCTGTAAACCTTGTGGTTGACAGAGGTACGGTGGTGGTAACCCTCCTGACCAGCACGGGCAACAGTCCACTGGACGTGGGAAGGATGCCAGGCACCGATACAGGCAACCTTTCGGAGACCCTTGTGAGTCTTACGGGGGAGCTTCTTGGTTCCCCAGCGGGCGGTAACACCGCTGAAGCCGTGACCCTTGGTGACAGCGATAACGTCAATAACCTCATCTTGCTCGAAGATGGAGTCGACGGAAACGGGCTTCTCGAAGAGGTCCTTGCCGAAGTCGACCTTCTCGGCGACAGAGCCACCGTTGATCTGGATCTCCATAAGGTGGGCCTTCTTCTGCTTGAGGGGAGTCTTGCGGATCTGGGTGTGGGCAAGGACACGGACGACAGTGCAGTACTTCTTGATGCGCTCGAGCTCGCGGGTGATGGAAGAGCCGCTGTTGTCGGAGTGCTTCTTGGCGTACTTGGTGAAAGCCTTCTTCTTGCTCTTGTACCAGTTCTTGTAGAATCGTCGCTTAACCTCGTCGGACAAGTGCTCAGCCCACACGGTGGTGAGGGAGCGCAGACCACGGGGAGTCTCGATGTAGCCCACAAGACCAACAACGATCATCTAAAAGATGTTAGCCATAGGCACATAGCCAAGCGGGCTGCATTGTTCGTACAGGGGGGGTATCAATGATCGAAACAGCCTCCACAACTTCCTTCTTGTTTGCCTTCGCGCCGGGTCGGTCGAGGTCACGAACGATCGTGGTCATACCGGCCTTGTAGCCCATGGCGGCAGTCAGGTGGACGGGCTTCTTGGCGTCATCCTTGGGGAAGCTGGCATTTCCAATTGATTAGCATTGCTCTTTCTTCTCTTCTTTTGTGGTTTCCCCCTTCAACACCCGAATTGAGGTTATCAAAAAATTTTCTGCGAGACTTACGACTTGACCTTTCCGCGGTGGCGGGCAGCGCGCTTCCGAGGCAGATAAGCCAGGGAGCCGTGACGGGGAGCCTCGTACTTGCGGTGCTATTCTGATGTTAACATCTTCATGAGAGCCTTGGAGTTGGATCGGTATGGCTACATACACTCATTTTGGGCGCTGGTGTGGTGATGAGTTGGTATGTAAAAACGACAAAGCTGCACAGAGCAGAAAAGTGTAAAAGGGCTTTCAAAGAAATAATTTGTGGGCGAAATTTTAAGCGAGACCTGATGGGAGGATCAAATGTGGCCCGTGCACGTTAACGCTAAGCCTCCTATAGAAGACAGGGGCATCAGTCCAATCAGATTAAGATACTCCAGAAGAGCAACAGTAAAATCACGTGATTCAGAATTTTCAAGTTTCCGGGATGGGTAGGTAGCATCCAATAGTGTATGGTCTAGATTCTCGGTAAGAGAAGAAGGTACTAAGGTACATAGAATACATGTAATGTACGATATACAGAGAAGGGGTTTTTTTTTTAGAAAAAAAAAATTACACTTATGATACGGAAAACGCTCCCTGGCGACAGTTTGTTTTTAGCCAAAAACCGATAACCCGTCCCCATTGCCGTCCGCCATCCCTTCCGTCAACAGTTAACATATGAAACTTAAAAGAAGTAAGTAGTACTAATACTGGGGAGGGAAGTTAGATATATAATGTAAGAAAAGAAGAAGACAAAAATGCACGGTAAATATCGCCTCGTAAAAGACCTGACTCATAAATTCCATCCCTCCTTGACTTGCATTTCAAGACATCCTTATTCAGTTTTGGGAGCAGAACTAGAAGCAACATTTACGTTGCTTGTAGAAGATGGTGGGGCTTTCAGATCGCTGGAGGCTGCTGTAGGGCCAGAGCCATTGGTGAGAACGACTGCCTTCTTCTCGTCCTCTCCGCTGTCGTCGTAGTCCTCGTCAACATCCATTTTCCTAGCCGCGCGCTCAGGCTCAGAGGCGGGAGGTGGGGGTGGTCGAGCCGGAGGAGCCTGTTCCGTGCGAGGTTCTTCCTTAGGAACAACGGGCGGCTGAGGCTTTTCGTGAACGACACCAGTCATGGGCCCCGATCCCGGCTGCATCGGCGGCAAGTGATTCGAGCTCACACTGTGGTTTTGGGTGTGATGGGCAGCCTCAGAAGGGTGATAGCTCTCCGTCTTATGGCGCGGCTCGTCGGACCTCCTAGGCTCTTCAGGGCGGCGCTGCTCCTCCGTCCTACGAGCTTCAGACGAATTGCGACGGTATCCATCACGAGGTGGAGTTGAAGGTCTGCGGTGGTTTAAGTTTTCCAATCGAGCACGAGTCTCCTCATTGGCTGGCTTTTTAGCAACAGACTCCTCTTCCCACTCGCGATGTCTCTTTGGCCCAACAGATGGAGGGCGATCATCCATACGCTGGGCGGGAGCTTCAGCGATTGGGGCGGGGGGTGGCTGTGGTGCATTATTCTCAGGAGCACTCTGCGGTGGCATCTCCGAATGGTGAGGATAGTGTGGTGGAGCCGGGTGCTGGGGATAAGCCGACTTTGGAGATGGCATGCGGTTATCATGAACGGGAGGGCGGCCATCAGCAGTACGAGGGCTGCTGGCTGGTCGGAAAGTAGTCATACCGTTCGGAGGAGGATTAGCACTATTCGGGTTATTGGAAGGAGGTGCCGATGCCGAAGGCGTTGAACCACCCCAGTTAGGGTTGACAACACGTCGCTCAGCCGGCGGAGGGGCTGGAGGTTGGGATTGGGATTGAGGTGGTGGTGGGGGGAGAGGCTGCGCGAATTGGTGAGCTTGAGGCGGCGGTGATGGGCCACGGCGTGACGGGCCGGATCTGTTAAGCTCAGGATATGGTTGACGAGTCGGCAGCTCTTGTTGCGGAGGAGGGCTGGGCTGTCGAAGAGGTGGTGCCGGACCACCACGGAAAGGCTCGCCACTTCGACTCTCATAAGGGTTGGGTGGCTGAGGAGGCGGGTTAACATTAGAGAGCCTGCCGGCCCAGCTCTCGCCAGCAGCTTGAGTAGCAGCAGGGGGGCCGCCCGATTGTTGTTGCGTAGATCCTCCCCATTGAGGAGGACCTGTGGGACCTGTCTGATACGTTGAGGGATGCATATCAGCAGGTTGAGGAGCGGCAGGTGGTGGGCCACCATTGGTACCACCAGAGCGAAGAAGCTGGAGGCGAGCTTTGATGTGTGGGTTACCTGGATCCAACTCCGCTGCCCTTTGGTAGGCGTCCAGGGCATCAGCGATCTGGTTGTTGCAAGACTCGTACTACACGCCGAGTTAGTAATCAGTTATACATACGAAAAAAGTCGATTGAGCTTGAAAACTTACCAGAGTGCCGAGATCGTACCAGACCTCAGAAATGTAAGGGTTCAGGCGAATAGCCCGCGAGTACGCGTCCAAAGCATCTCGGTATTGGTTGATCTGGTAATACAAGACACCGATGGAGCACCAAAAAGTGGGATTCTTCCCATCGCGATACACAGCTTGTTGGTAGGCTTCATATGCTTTTGGATACTTTTGTTGTGACATGTAGCACCGGCCCAAAAGATACCAACTTTGCGCATCTTGGTTGTCTATGAAAGGCGTCAGTGTCAGCGGCGTCGGCTTTCGCGATATGCCAGCATTTAATGTCCAAACTCACCTGCTGCGACAGATTTTTCTAGATACTGGATACCGCGTTCCTGGGACTCATATGAAGGGCTCTGTTGGTGGTACAGCCAACCCAGCTGCTGCAGAACTTTGGCGTGGTTAGGTGACTGGTCCAGCACCCGCTGGTACGCAGACTTGGCACCGTCGAACTACGAGGCAATGTTAGTATACCACATGGACACACGAAAAACCAAGCAGCTTACATCTTTCTGTTGCTCATGAACGTGTCCGATTTGGAACCAGATGTCCTCCTGCGTAAGAGGTCCAGGGGGAGAGTTGACGATGTATTTGAAACACTGGAGAGAAAAAAAGGGGGGTCAGCAAAAATATCTTCGCAATGCGTATAAGGTGGTGGTGTATCTCACATCTAAACTCTGGTTGAATTTCGATTGCTGCTTATATATTATACCCAGTCGGAAGTAAATCTCATTGGCCTTCTCGAAGTCGGGCTGGATTGTCATGACTTGCGAGAATGCCTCTTCTGCATAATCATAGCTTCCGTACCGGTCATACAAAATGCCAATGCCATACCACAGCATGGGATCCTATGTACGAACAGGTTACGTTGGTGTTCCAAGCAACGCAAAATTTTTAGTGCATTAAATACTTACCTTGGGATCACGGAGGTTGACAAGAGCTTGCTGATATGCGTCATACGCTTTTTGTAGATTTTCGGTCATCAAGTAACAATGGCCTATAGAGTTCAATTAGCATCAACATAACAATTTCCATCCAGCGATGGCGCGGCATACCAAGATTGCCCCAAGCTTCACCATTGTTCTGGTCGAGCTGGACGATGGCTCGAAAGAATTCAAGAGCCTTGTCGAATGCTTCTCGGCCCTTGAGGAGCATTCCGATCGCGTTCATTGCGGCTGTCGAGTTGGGATTGGCCTGGAGGGCTCGTTCGTAGGCGTGCATTGCCTCATCAGGTACTCGCAGCAATTCAGAGAAGCTTCCTGTTCGGCCTGTTAACCAAAGGCCGCGCTAAGACAAATTTGCAAACAAAAGGAGGTCATACCAATCTGCAACCACACAGCCTCGTTCATGGCCGTGATCTGGTTCAAGCCGGCAATCTGGTGCGGCGGGTTGAAGTGAGCAGGCTGGACATTTTGAGGCGGAGCTCCTGGAGGAGGAGCCTGATGCTGCATCTGCATCATCGTAGGCGACGGGTGGTGGTTCGCCATCGCGAGGCACTCGGCAGCGGATTATCGCGACAAGGCTGGCGGTGTAAGAAATCGGCGGCGTGGGTTTGGCAAGACAGTCTCGACGCGACCGCGCAAAATGCTTGGAGCCGGCGAATGTACGTGTCGATTAGGGCGATGGTCGTGTTGATGGCCCAATGGCTCGGATACAGGCGTGGCTCGTTAGGTATGTACCGCGCAGAGCTTAAACCCAGGCACAGCAGCGACGGCGCCTCGCGAGAAGATTGAATAAAATACGTCAGGTATGATGCGGCGCGAAGGCGAAGGCCGATGAGGCTAAATCTCTATGGAGAGCGATGGTTAGGATCGTGGAGACAAGCCAAGGTCCACGAGCACCCCCGACGCTGCTTGTTGCGGTTGCGAGATGTGATGGAGGGGAGAAAAGAAGAGGACGGGTAAATGGGGAGAGAAAAAAGGCTGTCCTGTGGAGGAAGGAACTGCGCTGCTGAACCGACAAACTTACCTTACCCATGAAAATGATGAAAATGGGAGAGAAGGATATGCTACAACCACGGTGGTGTACTTTGTGGAACCGGGCGGGGTCACTTTGAAATAGTGGGTCATTGCCCGCTTGGCAGCTTTTTCTGCCCCTACCTTGCCGAGGGGATGGGAGGGGGTGTTAACAGGGTTCATCGCAGAAGGTGTGTGGGTACGAAGTATCTCATACAAAGAGTCTGCGCAACGCGCGCCGCGTCCGGAGAGGAGGTACGTACCGCTGCAGCGCCATAGCGCCCGAGGCTACCAGCGCAGGAGCCCACACACACACGCACTTGGCAGTGATGACGGGTCGCGGCGCTGCGAAGGGGACAAAAAGCGGGGGGCGGCAACTTGAGAGTCTGGGCACCCGAGTTGACGCAGTTGCCGGGGCCAGTACAGCAATTAGTAAGGACCTGTACCAAAGTACCTTAGCCTCTAGTACGAAGTGCAACGTGCTCACGACCAGTAGATGCCTTACTGGTATGCATAAAGCGCTAGCCCAGAGAGACAACAGCGACAGGCCAGACGAGACGAAGGCGGCTGATAGGAGCTGGGTTGAGAGCCCGATGGGGAGAAGGGGGACAGCGCTGGGGCCGACCAATCTTATCGTGACGGTGAGGCTGTCGATGTGCGGCATACAAGGCGTCTAATCTAGGCCTTGGCGGCGCATCCTTTCTTTAAAGCTATGGCCTCGCAGTTTCCCAGTGGGCAACAATGGCAAAACGCCCAATCGAGCTGACGTTTAGGCACCTTTTTCTCTTATTACGCATCGCAGCCTTGTTAGAGCTTAGACGCCGCAAGAAATTCGAAGCCTCTGAGCGAGGTTAAATCAAAAGTAACAGGGTTAGCGGCTAGCTATTTCAACAAAGAAAGAAAAAAAGAAAAAGAAAAAAAAGCCAACAACGGCAGCACTTCTCGCTCAATCATCTATTTGTATATATCCATTAGCAGAGCACAAGACTACAGTAAACAGGTAAGTTAGCCAGCCAGTCAGGCTATCACCAACGCAGGGTCGTGGTAGGATCCGCCACTAGACATCCCAACTGCTGAAGGCCCATGGGCGCAAACAAGCCTTGTCGGATGATTCAGCGGGTAAGTCAACCGGCAGCAAGAGCTTTCCTAGCTCTCGGGGGATCTTCACTCATTACTATTGGCGACGCAAGCCCTCGATTCGATAGTGGATGGCCATTCAGCCCCGGTAATGACCGGGGGGGCGCTGGTGGCTCGTGTGGCACGCGTTGTCAGCAGCCAAGTTATGGCGGCGAAATACCTAATACCGTGGCCACGATAGGACGGTATGCTACCAACTGGCGTCAACCGCAGGACTCCTTAGGGTTTGCCTGTTGGTTGCACGGGGAATAGTACACTCCCCTGCCCTTGTTCGGGATATACTTGTACAACCACCAAATTGAAATCGACATGTGGCACCCGAGTACTACCTAGTAGTAGTCAACTAAGGTACAATATAGATGACGCCAGCAGACTTGATAGTGGGTGACTAGAGAGACAGAAGTCAGACATTCGGGCCTAGCTTTACGGAGCCAGGGGATGAGTTGCGGCACCAGCCATGGACAGGTCCGGGTCGCTTGCATTGCCTGCTCCAGGCGAGGAAGAGCTCCAGCAAGGCACAGGCAGGTCAAGGTTCCCTCCCGGCAGCTGTGGATGGAGATAAGATGCGTCTTAATGCATCCGTTCTGGGCAAAGCAAGGCATCTGCTGCACCTATGAGTTCTCGTCGGGCAATATGCCTCAACACTGCCCACTGGATCACTGGATAAAACCCCTCGCAGAGCGACAGCGGCTTCGACGGATGAGCGTGGCTTTGGGGAGCCGCTAGAGATTTGCTCCCCACAAGACGCGAACGAAACAGAACGAAAAAGAACGGTGGCGCTGGGACCGGTCCATTGCGCTGCCACGCATCGAGAGATTACGGAAGAGGAACATCCATCACGTGATGGCGACTGCAGAGTCTAAAATAAGGTAGAGGTAGCGTGGGAGGGTGGCTTGCTTGGAGCCTCAGGATCAAGATACAGGTCATATCTTGCATTCGGCTTTTTTTCTGCAGCCTTTGTTACATAAGCAGGCAGGGCCCCTCTCGGAGCCGTGCAGGCTTGATGCCGCAAGCCCACAAGCCACTCAAACCACGTTTTTGCTTTGCTTGATTTCCTCCCCCAAGGACACGAGTGGCAGGTGGGCAAATACGCTTGGTGGCAGAGGCCCAGCTTACTCTCACGGCCTGCTTCGTGCAACCGCCGACCGGCGAGTGCAGGTATGTACCTACTCACCAGCACCGACAGCAGGAGAATATCTGAGCTGGCTCCCCGTTTGGTGGAGAAGGGCAGCCAGACAGTGGGGAGCGATGCGACACAGCACCAGCAAACCATTGAAGCGATGCGCGAGCAGCATACCATACAGGCACAGCATGCAGCCGTACGTGCCAGTGGGTTGTGCGCCGTGCAAGCAGCATCTCGTACACGCACTCCGTGCAGAGTATGGAGCAGGCAGTCGGACAGTGCCTATAGGGGGCATGCGCTGACGATGGATTCGAGGTGTTGCGTTCGGTGGACGCCAAAGCACCGGTAGCCGCGTTTCGCTCGGACCGCCAGGCGATGCGGCGGCGGTCTAGGCGGTGCGTTTCCCAGGCGCTAAGGCCAGACCGCAGTCAGGCCATCCCCTGGCCCTCTTTTGTTCCCCTCTAAAGCCTCGTCGCGGTGTCTGCACCCCTGCCGTGTCGCGCTGCTGCAAGCAGGCACTACAAGTCCGCGCTAAATGCACTAGCACTGCTGCCTAGGGCGGTTGCGGACTAGCTCCACCCTACCCATTCTTCTGGCGGCTCCACCCACATCACATCAATCTCCCTGGCGTGGGAGCGAGAAAAGAAGCTCTCCAGCTCTAGCAGCATCCACTCTCACCACTGTGGATCCGCCAGGTGGACACCTCCTGAGCCTGCGCTGCTCAACACTCTGACGTGCCACGGTCAGCCGCCGCCGACGGATCTGGCCATCTGGGGTGTTTCCTAGCCCGTGGTCCCCTGCCTTTTGCTTGGCTCAGCAACGGGCGCGATGGCGTGTGGGGACCATTCCCCAGGATGTTCACAAGCCCAGAAGGCGGCAAAAAGACAAGCACGCACAACGAACAGCGGCCGTCGGGGCCAGTCAGAGATTGTCTGCACTATGGCCAAGCTGGCCCGATGGCCCCCTTTGCCATGTCTACCCGATTGCATCTCTCGGGCTGATGCGAAGCGCTGCCAGGCGGCGCATTCGCATATCAGGATACGCCAAGGCACCGCACATCATGCTTCCTTTGAGCGTGCTTGGCAGGATCCAAGCAAAGTGCACCACAGCATAGCACGCAGCCTCAGGAGCATGCAGCGTGGCATGGCATGGCATGGCATGTACCTACTATCTGCAATGGCTGGCTGTAGCTGGTGCCTTCAGCAAATACGAGTACATCATGCATTCGTCCTCCAAGCAGCCCTGGCTAGCACTCTTCTGTACTAGCTGGCCGGCTGGCTGAGCTGATGCCTTGCCACTTTCATCTGGCGGCCGCACATCCCTCCCCCATCGCGAGGTCGCCAGATTCCCGCCGCCGGGCCTTCGCTTCAGCGAGGTACGTACCTTTCAACGGGCCTGGGTGAGTACGGCTACACGGCTACGAGAGCACAGGGCCTGTAGTCACATAGTGGTGCTGGTAACGTGAGGCCTTGTGCTGCTCTGCAATGCCAGTTGATTCATCCACCTTCGGATCCTCGCACAAGGTCAAAGGGCAGTTGGGTGGCTACACGCAAAGCGCTCATCCAGCGGCACGTTGCTCTGCTGCACCCCTTTTGGCTCCGTCGGCGGTGCTCTTGGATTTCGTCATTAGGTGACCTGTCTCTATTGACACCTGTGCCACTGGCAGGGCAGCTCAGGCTGCACACGCGCACACCCCTGCGAAACAGCAAAGAGAAGAGACAAACGACGGCAAGGTCAGTATCACCATGAGACGTGCTCCGTTGAGCGAGAGGCGATCTGGATATGGCCCTCATTTTTAGCGCTACTACCCTAGAAATCTCCCATGATACACTGCCGCAGCGAGCTCCAGGAGCGACGTGCTGCCAACTTAGTCGCCTGTGTTTCCATCAGTGTTTATCTGGGTATTTAAGGAGCGAGCTGCTGCTGGGGCGCAACGCAGCGCCTCTGTGTTCAGATGCGGCCACGACTCGTGGAGTTCTATCGTGTCTCATCATCAGGCTAGGTGGAAGCTGAGCGAAAATAGCCGCTTGGCTAGCACACACTCGGCCAGGTCCGCTACGCCCAGTGATTAACCCCAGAGAGGCCTCTGCCGGAAACCACTCCACCCCCTCACATGGGCGCCAGGGGTGAAGGTGAGAGACTGGAAATGAATAGACGGCGGTGGATACACACGGCTGTGTCTTGGGCTGGGACGTGATACATGTGCTTTTCGCCTGTCATGAGCCGCTGCAAACCATAGCACAGCGCCCAGACACACCGGCAGTACTCGATGCCATGCGATTTACCTGCGCCAGACGGCTGCGATGAGACGTCTAGCCGAGTTTGATGGGTAGATGGCTGGTAGTTGTTTTGCTTTCTTCTCTGCTACTCGGAGTTTATAAAACGGAAACAGGGCCCGACATCCTGGCCATCCGCCTCAAGCTAGTTCCTCGCTATTACTGCAGTACTGTATAAATGCGCAGCGGCCGTAGCCCGCCCTGATCCTCCGATTACAGAAAAAGGCAAAGCAACCTTGGAAACAAACTACATTTTCACCCCTTGCTCCATCCGGGGTGCTACTCTGTACGGAGGACCAGCGGCTTTAATGCAGTCTCATCGCAATCCCACCGCATCGTACCGCATCGGTTTTGCTATATTTCGAAAGTAGGGCTACTATCCCTACAGGCGGCAGCACTGTAGCTACTATCGAAGTACCTACCTACCTGTACTAATGTACATACATATCCTGGTAGTGAAAATGCCACGAGATATCCTGTTTCAGGACTCCGTCTGTGCTTCTTGCAGCAGTTTTGGCGGCTGGAAACAGGAGCCGGTTCCGGCTGGAGCACTTTACGATAGACGAAATCTCAAGTGTATACATGACGATAAGTAAGGGGGGTTCCGTAGTTTCCTGTGTATGGGTTTCAGCTTGCGCATACCGACGCAAGAGGCTGCCCTCTATTTTCGATAGATCTTCTTGACTACTATTCTGGGCATCTGTAGGATTTCATGCTTGCCGCCAGCTGAGTATCTAAGCGCCAGGCACCCCAAAAAAAGAAAAAATAAAGGAAAAAGAAAAGCAAAAAGCAGTGAATGTTTGCTGCGCTTGCTTCATCGCATACTATCCTTCTAGATAATGCTTCGAACGGCCAATACTTCTCGATCGGCGTGGTTGCAGGAGAATCTGCATGCGCTAATGTCTCGAAATACAGATGACAGGACACACTTTTCCATACATGTTTTTTTTTTGATAAGTTACGAAATATTTACTGTATGTACTGTAGCAGATCAGTACGATGTAATATGTGATACATGGCCATGTTCCTTTCCCTTGTACAGTCCAATCAGCGCAGTTGATCGGCACTCAGCTTCAGCCTCCACATCAACCCCATGAAGTACCAAGCCTTCTCTCCTCCTCCTCCTTTTACTTCTTTCTCACAGGGCCTGGGGATTTCCAACAGCGTACAGAATTGGGTAAACATACCTCTGTCGATCATTGGTACCCGAGGACAAAGGTAGGGAAGGAAGGGTGCTCTTGCAAACACAGCAAGGTGGATATTTTCAATGGATATATTAACATAGCTGATGAAATAAAGCATGATTCATTAGTTCACGTGCTGGCTAGATAATTAACCATGATCCATAGCAACACCAAGCGCCAACTTACTAATCCATCAATCCAACACGGTATCCGCACATATCATTATAATCATTTGATTCATGACCTTGGTCCCTCCTCCCAACACCTTCGCCTAAAAAACACCGAGGCGCCGCCATTACCACCTAAATCATTGAATCACAAATGTCCGACCCCACCCTATACACTGTCCTATGAATCGTCTTCCTCCGGCTCAAACTTGGTCTCGCCAAGCATTGGTCCTGGTTCAGACTTCATGGCTGTCTGAGCACTTGACTGAGGCTGAACCTGAACAGGCGGGCCGCTCGGCTGAGCAGGAGCCGGTGGTGGGGCCTGCGAGGATTGTCGGGCGGCAGCAGTTGCGGCATTCAGTCTCTGGTCCAGCGCCTTCAGTGCGATAGCCCTTCTTCTCTCAGCTTCGGCACGGGCACTTCCTGGCGCCCCTCTGTGTTGGAAGCTATCGCGCCCGGCAGTAATGCCTCGCTGTGCTGATGGCTTACAGAGTCGGATCGCGACAAGGATGTTGTAGATTTGATCTGAAAAGGCAGCCACGGCGGGCTTAACAGGGCCTGGGAAGAATTCGGCAAAGGCGAAAGTTTCGCTAGCATCTCCTCGTAGCGACGCCGGTTGAGCTGAGTCAAGATCGGGAAAGACCACCTTGAAGAATCGTAGATAGGTCCAGCTGGTAAGGAAGCTGTAGTTGGCCAGCCAAAGAGCCGCGCGCGATAGCAGCGGAGTAAACGAGAGCAAGGTGACGATACCGATATAGATGAGGGGAATTCTGGGGACTCGGAGCGAAACGATGCCTCGGAATAGTGTTACCGTATGCGCTGGGATGAGCTGGCTGAAGGCGACCAGGAAAGCGATCTGGATAGGAATGGTACCGCCGATAATTGTGAGACTGTGAAAGTGAAATATATTTAGTGGTTTCCCTTTATTAAGTAAACAAAAGCGTATATATGAGAGTATAAACTTACGTCCAGTCAGTGTTCCTGGTCAAGGTAAAGAAAAAGATCATGGTGAAAAAGGTGAGGACGTTTGGGATCAGGGTTACGAGCACAAGGAACTTGGCCAGGTCTGCCGACGACCAAGCTCTCTCCAAGTACCTGCCGCCATGGTATAAAGTCACGGCACCTAAGCCAAATGTAAAGATGTTGCCCTCAACCAACGAAGCCGTCAGGAATGTCCAGGGGTAGGCAATCGACAGCTGCGGGATGAGCGTCAAGTACGGTATCACAATGTCCGTATCCTCGGCCCACTGGCGATATCTAATCGCGGCGCTCAGGACAGACTGGAAGATCAGAGTGCCGAGCAGAGCCCGTGTTACTGGCGGGAGGTTTATTCGCGGGGGCATGGTGACGGGGATGCGAGATGCGGGACGGTGGATGGTTCTATCGCGGGGGATTCTTCAAGGTGTCATTTGAGCCGGGTTATGGCAGAAGGATCCAAGCCAGCGCACGAGGAGAAAGAAGGAAATGGCGAGAAGAAGGCAAAGGGCAAAACGAGAGGCTCGCTGTCCTCTTTGCGCGCTCAGAGCTACGGGCGTGTGTTCGGATTTTCCTGCCTGTGGCTTGTGCTCAATGTGAAAGCCTCCATGCTAGGGATGCCACTATGTGCGAAGGGATCAGCCGAATCGGGTGATGCCGACTGGTGGTGAAGCGTTTGCCTCAGGCACCAACTTCTCGATAGGTACCAGGCTCCTCGTAGATTCATAGGTGAGGCGATTTGTGTGGCAGCGGTTGGAGGGAAGGAAGTTTTCAAGAGTCTTGTTGTCTCACTGCTGCTGTCATGCTATTTTAAGACCATGGCGACCTGTTATTCGTCGATGTCAACTCAGGGCAAAGACTGCAGACACATTTCCTGGTTCTTGCATTATTGACTAGCGTTGACGCAGCCTTGAAAGCTTAAACGGGAAGCGATACCAGGACAAACGCCCTGCTGCAAGACATGACCCTACAAGGCAGCGTAGGCACGTCAAAAGAATGTAACACAGCCTATCTGATGCAGTATCAAACCCTCCCTACATGCGCCCTCCCCAGTCTTCAGTCAATCAATCGTTCAAGACATCAATTACACGCAGCCAGCACACGACTCATGACTCAGCATGTGGCAGAACCTCGGTAAGGCACAGGCTGTGCCCCAGGCTTTTCTCCTATCGGGACTATCAGTTTCCGGCAGCCTGCAAATTGGATTGAGCGTATCATGTGGGGTCGCGCGCATGTGCAAAAACCCGTAACGGGGGACCCTGTCTTGCTTGCTTCAAGGTTACCAGACCCGTATACTATTCCTACAGCACCATGTATGTACTACGGAAGCACGGGGCTGCGAGACAGGCGGAGAAGCCCATCCCGAACTGGAACTGGCGGCGAACGATCGAGAGAAGCAGCGTCGGAATGGCCGATCTTGCACATCCGCAAGAATGCAATTGATAAGCTTGAAATGCTCATTTTGTACACACACCAGTAAGCTGCGGGAGACGGAAAAAAAAAAAAAAAAAAAAAAAAAAAAGCTTAGTTTCTTTGTTTATTAGGCATGTCGGGTATCTTTGGTAGGAGCAGTGCCTGGAGCCAATACATGCCTGATAAGTGCGCCCAAAGCGCATTATGTGCTCTACTCAGAGTGACACTGCCTGCAGTATTTTGTAGCCGCATGCACGCTCGAGACACTACCCCCGACTTGTACTCGTGGTCTGCCTCACGACGCCGCCGTTGAAAAATCCTCATTCGCTTGCTTGTGCAGTAGCAATCAGTACGGGTATCTCGTACCAGCTGCCATGGGCCGGCGCTTGGGTATGGAGCAGGCGGGGCGGGCTTGAAGACCCATCGTCAAAGATCCTGACTTCGAGGCCTCTGGCTTTTTTACCGGGGCTGTGGACGCAGGTTTTGCGGCGACAAAGCCTCTCAGCTCCAGAGAAGCGAAATTCGTCATGGCGCCGATTTCCTCCTCTCCTCTCCTCTGCTCTGCTCTGCTCTACTCTGCTCCAACCTTCCCTCTCCTTTTGGTGCACGCGGTAGTTGCTGGAATCTCTGAGCCTGCAAGACCCCGGATATTGCTGCTACTAGCACTTGGACTACCAGTTTCTAGTACAAGCATGTACCAGGATTTACTGTCCTACCACCCACGGAACGCTGAGCTGGCCTGGCTTAGCTCCGTCATCCACTTTCTCTCATCCACTCGTCTGTGGTCTCCGGGCTATAATAAGCCATTGATGGCAGCCATCTCGCTGCACCCCTGTCCCCGGCACGCACATCGCAACCGTCACCAACACCCCTGTGCAGATACATTTCGCGGCGGCGTGAAGGGGAACAAGCAACACACTTGGCGGCGCCACCAGCTCCAAGGCCAACCACCTATGATGCCGCCGCCCGCCCCTTTTGTCGCCTGTGACCAGTGCCACGTAGGCTGACGAGAATAAATCACACACACCTCGCCATCCAGGGCCTTCTTTCTTTTCCGGATGGCTGCTGCTTGTGACGAGAGGAGAGGAGAGAGGGGAGGGCGATCGGACCAGACCAGACCAGACCACAGCAGCCAAGTAGAAGAGCATCATCAAAAGGCCTTCATTTGGGATGAAGGCCTTTTGAGCTGCCGTTTCCAGAAGATTGCCTTCTGCATTCTCCCTCTGGGCGGTCCAAGAAGCTTCAAGGGGCCGGTGTCAAGTGCGCTGCTGCGCGTGAGACTGAATCTTAAATGATTAAAGGACCACTTTTTGTAGGTTTAGGTGAGGTGATGAGCTCGCAGCCCGTCATCTTGCCGAGGGGGATTTCCCGCGTGTCGGGGATAAAAGCAATAAGCACAGCGTTCGCCAAACGAAGCCGCTAGCCCTCCCAGCACAGTACGAGCTGTGCTAGGGCCATTAGCTATCTTCGCGCGTCCAGATCCATTGACGGGATCCCGTGGCCTCTCTGGGAAGCACGTACCGGTACGGACACTTGGACTTGGATGATCCAGGACCTCCCCTGCGGGGCGCGGGATGTCCAGGTACTGCTACGGAGCACGCTCATTTACGGAGTAGTGCCCAGCCGATCTGCAATCCAGTCTCAGATTCTGGTGCCCTGGCGCCCTTTGGGCTTGATCTCGAGAGGCGCGATATGGTGACGGCAGCATCTTCCATTCCATCATCAGCGGCAGGCCGTAGACGAAGATGCCACGGGAGGAGAGCCAGATGAGACGGCGACCGAGTTTCTGCCTGGATCCAGGATCGAAATCTCGATTGCTGATGGGGATGGCCCGGAGGCGGCCAAGCTGCAGCAGCCGACCGACTTCGCAGTTCGCCACCGCACGAAGAGAGGTTTTTGGGGCTGCCAGCCCATGCCCTGGGCCCAAGCATCTGTCTTGGCAGCCGAGTTTGTGCATGCCAGAGTCTGGGGCATCCTTAGGCAAAGTGTGCCTCGTTGCGTTGCTTGTGCAAAAGCATCCGCCCCCTTTGCAGGGGCTAGTCCAAATCACTTGGGCTACCGTTAACCGAGTTCGCGACGAAATGGCTTACGATTTTCCCATTTGGCCGCGTCTGACTCGGCGGGCGTCAACGGGGGAGCAAGGCCAATGCGCAACTTACGAACATCTAGTGCTCCGGAGAAGCTTCGGTCACAGATACCGACCGAAGTGTCTCAGCACAACAGCCGGACCGTGACAAACAAATACAGCGAATACCTAGATAGTACATACCTGCTAGTAGTAAGTATAGGGCAATCCAGGTTGACGAGAGAATTGGGCTTGCGCCACTAGCGCTAGGAAGAGATGGCGCATTTAGTAATGACTTTCCTTATTTTCCTGGTGTCTTGTTCGCATGTCGATAGTTCGTCCTTTGTCTGAAGTGATATGCACGCACTCGTCCAGAGACCAGGTCACGGCAGACAATGACGATTTGACTGGTCCCCGCTAGTTGGTTCCCTTCTCGGCGACGAAACGTTTCGTGCAAAAGTACTGGTACCCGGCACAATGTCTTGTCTTGCCTGTGACGGGCATGTAGGTGAAGAGCCTCTACGAGGTACAGTACTAGGACACTGCACCACCCTCCGTCGGCAACTTTTAGCAGCCAGACCTAGGGTTCCGTCCAGTCCCCCGTTAACTCTCCCGCTGCCCTGCTGCCATGGCATCTCGTTCCACAGCTGTGAACGCTCAATCTAGCGCCAGGCTGGTCCACCTTCGAGAACGACCAGACGCAGTAGTGCCCACGACGGAGCAGTACCCGTGGCATCACACGCTGTTGCGACGTTTGCTCGGTACCTCTCCGTACCTGCACATAGCTTTGGAGGTATCGAGTGAAGAATTTTGGTTTCGGCGCCATAGCCTTGGTAGCGACATCCGTGATGCGCGGCAGCCTCAGCGAAGCGACGCTACAAATGGATGCCATCCATGATCGCTCCATCGCTACCAATCTTACAACCCGCGGCGCAGCATCCGCACCGCGGCCGCGGCCTCATCACTTCAGAAAGGGGGCCTGCCAAGGCAAAAGCAAATGTCATGCTGCAGAAGCTCGTTTATGTGCATTTTAGGGCCATTCCCAGGGCATGACAGGGCTAGAACAAAACGGCCATGTATGTGCAAGTTACTGTAGGGAGGCAGGTTGGGGGGCAAGATCTCGAGAGAGAAAAACTCCCCCCTCCATTATTAGGTTTGGCGGTAGGATGTGAGAGCCTTGGGTGTGGCCTTGGGGGCCTTGCCATTGGCAGAGCGGCGCTGCAGTGTGGCGCTGGCATCTAGCCAGCCTTTAATTGATGTCTGGCGCCGGCTATAGCGCAAGTCCACCGGCTGGGTTTCTCCTTCGACGCCTCGCCTTTCTGGGCTCCCCAAACAAGGCCCGTTTAATCTGGCGTGGGCTGAACGCCCGGCGGCGAGGTAGGCAGGACTTAGCGGGTACTTGAGCGTGGCCAGTGGCTGCGGCTGGCGGCCAGGTACTCCCAGCGCATCGTTCAGGTACTGAATACCCCAGGCGCGGCAGGGCCAATGTACCGACAGAGGTACGGAGTACCTGTCTCTGCCGACCGTGGGCGGGATGTGGATTCGATTCATCTTCTTTCTTGAATCTTCACTCTCACTTCCTCCTCACATTCGCCAGCTCGCTCTCCTTTGACGGCTCCCCGAACAAGCCTCAGCGCTGCTCTACACCTGCAGACTCGCCTGCGACGACCAGCCGTGACACTGCCGCCACCTGCTGGCGCGCTCTCCCCCCTCCCACCCCCGGAACCAGAGCCATGGTCATCAAGGAATTTCTCGACTCAGACCGAGTCAACTTTCTCATCTGGAGGTTCGTTGAAGCCCGTTGCTTTTGCCAGCCTTGTGCCCTTTGGCCGCCTGCCACCCTCCAAGGCATCTACCGACGCCCAATCCTCTTTCGCCGAGCCTTTAATCTCTCCCCAGACGTTTTTTCGGCCCCGAGAGGCCTTGTTGGCGCTCACGCCTTTTGCTGACCCTTTTTTGCGCAGGTATTTGCTTGAAGGCAGTACGTGGAACCGCGCAGCACCGCAACTTTTGTCCCTGTCGTTTCTCGCAGGCCCGCGTCAAACTTGGAGTGTGACTAACCGTGGACCATTGTTTTTTTGCCTCTAGATTACAGAGAAACCGCTGCCAAATTTCAGAAAGAATGGCACGTCAAAGAGCCGCAGCGAGACTTTGACTTTGCGCGCCATGTCAAGGGCCGTGCTCTAGTCTCTGTTGTCAACAGCGGCCTCATCTACTATGCGCTCGAAAGAGAGCACGCACGCCATCAGGTACGCCGGAAAATTACTGTTTGCTGGATTCACTTTTTCTTCTTCTCTTCTTGCTTGTTCCCTCTTTTTTTTTTAAGCTCGCGATTGGGGTCTAGGCTGCCTGTGCGCCAATCGCGGTTCGCTTTTCCCTTTTTTTCCCCTTTGGCTGACGATCCGATTCGGCAGCAGATGCCTGAGGATGCCACCGCACAAGCCGAGGTGCTGCGCAACGGCATCTTTGGACCGCTAGAAGTGCAGCCGCCAGCAAAGACAGAGGAAGAGGAGGACGACGAAGACGTGGATGCACCAGGAGAAGATGAGGTAGAGCTTTCGCGAAAACGGAATCAGAACTCTCTGCCCAATGGGTCGGCCTCCAAGCGCCCACGGCTCAGCAACGGCTGCGAAAGCAAATCCGATGCAGCCACCGTCAGCACCCCCATGGCCATGGAAGTGGACCAGCAGGAGAATCACCAACAGCACGATGACGACCAGAGCCTGCAAGATAATCACGCCTACCCTTCTCCGCTAGAAGGAGAACAGGTACCCCTTCCAATTGTCCGGACAGAGGGCCCCGAGCAAGGCACGCAGGTCGACAAAGTCGAGCAACTATTCCCTAAAACCACGTTCATCCGCCTCATGGACACCAACTGCGCCACTGAAACAGCGCCATCTCCCTCCCCAGCTGGCACTGAAAATGCTCCCATTCTGCTGCAGTGCGAGTGGAACCCTAGAGACCCATCAATATTGGCGGCTGCTGGAACCGATGCGCTAGCCCGCGTTTGGACCATTTCGCGTGCCACGGCAACTGAGCATGGCGAGCATCACGTGTCGCCCCACGCCCATGCCTTGTTGGATCCCGACGCTCCCAAGACAACGACAGTTACGGCGCTGGCCTGGACATCAGATGGCACGGCAATTGCCGTGGCTAGCGACTGCGGAGGGTCCCGCGCTGCCATCCATGTGTGGTCCGCCGGCGGCGAGCTGCTACAGTCCATGGACGTGGCAGAGCCGCCCATCGTCAAGCTCCTGTGGAATCCCAGCAACTCGGCGCTCCTTGCTATTTCCCCAGAGAACAAAGTCGGTACATCAATAACAGTGCACTCGGCAACCTCGAACAAGTCCTTCAGATACGGTCTATCGGGCCACAGCCTCGATACGGGACTGGATGCGGCATGGACCGGCGACTCTGAGTTTTTGATTTGCGGCGGGGGCGTCTTTGAGTGTCTAAGTGTGGGAGAGACATCAATACAAAGGGCCCGGAAATTTGAGACGAAAGAGGATGATCATTTTGCTCAGGTTTTATTCGACCCGCTATCTCAGCTGGTGGCCACTTCCAGCGATAAGGGTGTTTTGGATGTAAGTTTGAGGGTGAAAAGAAAAAAACCTGGCATACCAAGGTCGTCTGGAAACTGGAGACTAATCATCATGTTTTACGTAGCTATGGGACGAGTCCGGCGCCCGCCGATCTATATCAGCACACCAGGGGTCGATCACAACAATGGCCTGGCAGCCCCTGTCGCCAAATCAGACCAGTGCAGACGAAGAACGATTAATCGCTACCGGAGGAGAAGACGGTGCCATTTTGATTTGGAACGCCAGAAAACCTGAGAGCAAAGCAAAATGCTTTTTCACAATGGAGTTGCCTGTTGTGCGACTCGCGTTCACACCTGACGGAGCTTTCATCGCAGGAGCCACATCAAGAAGTGTCTTGATATGGAAAGTCGACAGCCATTCCGTACCTCGGGCCGTCTGGAGGCCATCCAGAGATGAATTTGAGAACCTTAAGAGCAACCAAGATTCCGAAGAAGAGGATGAACACTGTCTTTGTTGGGATATCAGCGGCCAGAAACTTGCTTATGGTGCAAATAGTCGAGTAAGTGTGCTCTATAATAAATATTGAGAGGGAGGAGGAGTGAAAGAAAGGAACTTCAATGGATGGAACGTTTCAAACTGACAATTTCTTAGCTCGCTATCATTAGCTTTAGTGGATAGAATCCACGTTTACAAATGAGAAGAAGACACGGATATATTACGGCAAACGGATGAATTTACGGCGATGGGGATCGGTCGGCTGGCTCTTTGAAAGCTTTCGAGGACGATACGACAGCGTGAGGACGAAACAAAAAAAAAATCTTTAGAAAGCCACAGCATCGGCGAGTGGCACGATATCATACTATGACTGCTGCATGACGAAACTCACGTCAGCGGCAGTGTTCTTTTCTTTTTGATTTCCTTAACATCTTTCTTTCATTCTCTTTGAACAAAAGATGGCCATTTGGATTCGTGGGAGGTGATGTGCCGCGAAACCAATCTTTTAGGGCTCGATGCCCCTGTGCATCAGTCCCTTTTGTATACCAGCATTCCCCGTTGGGCTCTCTTTTTGGTCATAACCACATATATCTGGACAGCAAGGGGAAACTGGACCAAACTATGCTAATCACATCTTGACTACGCGGATACACTCGAATGAACGACAGGGATAAAACGGACGTATGGAGTACGAGTGGTGTTATTCTGATTATCTATTTTTTTAGGTCTCTTTTTTGTTTTTGCTTTGCTTTTTATAGTCTTCGGGCCGCCGGTAACAAGAGAGAAGGGGGGGTAGGGAGAGAAGAGAGAAGGAGAAAGAAGGAAAGCTAGCAAAGGCATTTCGGTTTGTGTCTTAACATGTTTGAACAGATCAAGGAGGTAGTGAAGCTGCGTCTTGTACATTAAAATTTGCAGGGTACTTACTACCTATCAATCTAAGGACAAAGCTCCTGTTATTAATAAGTTTCGGCTTACTTCTGGGGTGAGCAGTGAACGTGCCCAGTCTATATTTAGCGAAACGCACAGAGCGTCTGCGTATCTTATAATTGGCCTGTGTTTATGAATAATTGCCGTGTACCGTCTCTACGGTTTATATAAGTACGAGAGTACGGTGACGCCACGAAGTACGTACAAGGTAAGATATTGAAGCCGAGGCGGGGTCAGTGTCAAAGGATGACCTAAGGAAGGATCGTGCCTAGAAATTCACCCGCCATTTTCATCTTCATTACTTTCGACCACCTCTCATCAACTGCATCTACGCCAGGCTGCACGCGCGACGGGCAAACCGTTTTAATATTGGAGCCAAAGACAACTAGTGAGCGATCAATACTAAAAGCATCAAAAAGGACTGGCATATATCACTCCAGGCCAACAAAAAAAAAAAAAAAAAAAAGGTACCATCAAAATGGCTGGCCTGCCGCCCAACTACAACTTCACCAATCAATACGACCCGCAGCTTCAGGCTTCAATATCGCAGATGCAGCAGCATCAACAGCAACAGTTGCAGCAGCAGCAGCAGCAGCAACTTCAGCAGCCGCAATTCCAACACCAGCATATTCAGCTGCAACATATCCAGCAGCAGCAAGTTCAGCAGCAGCAGACGTACCAGCAGCAACAGCGCCAGCTGATACAGCAGCTACATCAAGAGGCGAGAGATAGGCGCGAGAGGATTCGCAGCAGGCCCTTTCCAACCAACGTGACTCAATCTGTGCGTGACCGCCAGGCTCGCGGCAAGGACGTCTACAGGGGCAGCGAGGACGAGAAGACGGACGATGAAGGGGATGAGGAGGAGGATGAGGAAGAAGAAGAAGAGCAGCGACAGCAACACCGGAGGAGACAATCCATGTCGAGAAAAGGGTGCGTGCTTTGAATTTTTTTTTTTTTTTCATTGATTTTTTTTATTCTTTTTCTCTTTTCTTTCTTTTCTTTCTTTTTCTTTCTTTTTTCTTTTTTTTTTTTCCAGCACATATTTCGACGTCTCCTTCCTTACGTTTTGATTTTGAGCTTTGCTGTATGTTTACTCTGCGTTAGCGATCGTGATAATCTCGACGACGTCCTTCTTGATGATCTTGATGATGGCGATGACGAAGACACCGACAATGAAGCTGATATCCTGCGCAGTTGCAGAGCAGAGGATTTTGAGACTCGCCAGCGGAGGGCGTTTGCCGCATCAGTGTTGGATCGTCCGGAGCAGCTGATGATGTATGCCCAGAGCACAAACGACGTGAGTTGACACACAAAAGACAGACGACTCCCAAGTCTTTTTTCTTTTCTCCAAGTCATGTACTGACAGGTGAGAGGGGGAGAAACAGAGCATTGCTGGTCAGCGACATCGCTTCATGACCATACTCTGTGGCTACGATGGGGATGAGGACTGGTCCAACGTTGGGCACCATCGGGCGTCGACCAGGGCGGCGCAGGAGAGGAAGGCGAATATGCGAAAGACTATGAACATTGACCGAAGAACAGCCTAATTAAAAGAGCAAAATTGCTTTTGAGGGAATCTTTTTATGGGTATTTCCCCTCCCTTTCTTTTTTATTCAAGCTTTCTCTCTTAGCAGACCATGGCACACTTTTCGAAGATTTTATTTTTACGACCGTCATGATGAACGTTTACTTTATTTATATCGGCAGGTTGAAATGAGATATATGCATTGCCATCAACTCGAAACACGTGAAAGTACTATGAAGCAAAATCTTATAAACAACCAGCTTAAAAATCCAGACCCTGCAGCGATGGGTATGTGTGTGAGAGCGTGTAAGTGCAAGTGCAAGTGTAAGCGTGAGTGAGTGAGTGAGTGTGCATCTATCAATATTATGTATCCCCTCCAAACAAAGCCATATTTTCCCTCCTCTTTCATAACTCATCAGTAAAATATTCAATATTCCCATAACGCCGCGAGTATGTGCAAATGTTTCCAAGTATGTAAGCAAATCCCCCTTTTTTCCAAGACCCAAAAGAGGGAGTGTTATCCCAAGCGATTTCCAATTCTTCTTTCGGAAGGCAACACATACATGATTTACTTCCCTCCCGACAAAACAAACAGACAAACATGAAATGTAAAACAGCCGTTGAAGAGGGTTTCCTCTTATGCATACCGCGCCATTCTTGGCCTCCACTGCGGCTCCTGAATGGGTGGCTGTCCATATCCAGGCGGCGGCTGCTGCTGATACGCCGGCGGCGGCGGGTTATACTGTGTCTCGGTCATATTGTAATCCTGTGGCCCAGGAGCTCGGTTCTGATTACCTCCCCACTGAGGCCATCCGCCACCAACGGGGGGCGAGGAGGTCTTGGGCACTATTCCGCGACGTCGCCGCACCCGGCGCCAGCAGCTGAGAATGATGCTTACTATGATGACGATGACCAAGATGCCGACCACGACCGCAATAGGAATGACAATCTCCTTGTGGCCGGTGATCCATTGCTGGATCTCTTTCGACGTGGAGCTGCCGGTGCATGTTCCGTTAGAACAGTGTCCACCGGCGCCGCACGGAGTCCCGTCAATAAAGTTCTGACCATACAAGAGACACTGGCGTTGTCCAAAGGCAAGTTCTCCGGAAGTGCAGGAAACCGTACAGCTATTCTGAGTATCAGGGCATGCAGTTGTTGAGCTGTTGTCGGCCGAGGTGCCAACGGCGACCTGGCATTGCCTATCACGAGACGTACACTGCCCTGAAGCACATGCGAGGCCATTGCCGCTCCCGCATGATTCGCCATCTGCCTTGTGCTGGTCGTCAGGGCACTTGGCCGCGTTACCAGGGCACGTCTCCTGGATATCACACTCTCCGGTGCTAGGTCGGCACACTGTTGAAGAGGAAGCAAACTGGCACTTGCTGGTGCAACAATCTTCGTTGGATGGGTCACACACGGAGTTGCTTGTGAACTTGCAAGTCTTTGCGTCGCAGCACGTATTATTTTGACAACCTTGCTCACCGCCGCAGTCGCATTCTTCGCCTTCCTCGACGATGCCGTTACCACACTGGCTGCCAGTGACGGTTGGGATATTCTTGTTGTCGGTCAAGCAGCTTGATGCAGCTGCAGCTTTGAGACTGGAGCAGATATTGCCAATGCTGCACGGAGAAAACTGGGTGATACCCACGCCGGTTGAAGGATTCATGATGAATTTGCCATCGGCATCGCAAGTCTTGGCGCTGAGCGGGCAGCAAGATTGTGAAGAGGGATCAACAGGACAAGTAGAGCTCGTGCAGTCATGGACAGCTCCGAAAGTGTGTCCCGATTCGTGGGCAAATACCTGCCACTCTGTCGTCGTCCTCACTACGACGTTGGTGCCGGCGACAGTCTCGTTATGACCTTGCCCATCGGAGCTGGTGCCTGATCCCTGACGACAGACTTGGCTTCTCCAGGCCAGCCCGACGGCGGCATCCGTAGGACAGGTGCTGAACAGAGACCAATAAGCATTATTATCGAGAGATCGACCGCGCCAGGCAGAAAAGAGGTTTAATCGATCGCTAATGGTAGTGTTGGACTGGCAGTCGACGTTCCAAGGTGTAGCTGCCTGGGGAGCTCCTGGGCATCCACGGTCGAGAACAGTCAGGTTTCTTATACCCAGAGAGATTTTGAAAGAACTCTCATAGACCTGGGAAGCTTGGTTTACAACCCCGATGATATTCTTCCTCAGATCCTCAGAGGAGTTGAAGCCGTTCCAGTATGTGCAATCAGTAGCAATGCCAACTAACGCAACCTTCTTGGTGGTTGGACAGCCAGCTGTGCTTCCAATGCTCGCAATCAAATCCTGACCACTTCCCCCCGAACCTCCGTCGATGGATTGGCGACCAAATAAGCTTCTTGCGTCTATTCCTCGGAGCCCAGTGGATCGCTTTAGCTCTGCATTATCAAACTGGCTGTTAAAGTTCAAAGAGTCTGAGATGCATTGTGACGGGCTCGAGACATCGCGCTTGAGCTCTCCACGGCCGAGAAAGTCTTGAACGTCGGAATCGCGCCATACGACCATGATTTCATCCGGGTCTCGTTCTTTCCAGTCCTCAAACGCAGGATCGTTCTCAAGTTTGAGATTGTTGTACTTGGTGCCGGTATGGATGTGATGATTATCACCATCAGCTCGAAATGCGCCGTCAAAGACTGGGTGCTTGCCGTCGCGGTGTATCGTTATCCTTGCCCATCCAGCCAGGGACCAGCCATTTTCACCAGGGCGCTCAACGTAGGCGTCACCCCGATACACCTTGTGCTCGGAACGCTGTACTTTCTCTCTTGATTTGACGTTTCCCTGGGAGTCGAGATAGGTCACCTCAAAATCATCGTGGAGGACGTCGTGGTTGGGGTGAAGAGACAGCCGGATTCGCTCTTCTCCATCGTGGAGGGAGAAGGTAAGATCGAACTCGGAATGTGAGTGCACTCGGCCGGCAGGCGTGTGAATCTTGATATCGTCAATGACGGAGACGTAACTAAGTGGACTCCTCTTCAACGAATGCGCTACAGCGAGATTCAAAAGAAACTCTGATATCAGCGAATGGGGACTGGCTTTGGCAGTGGAGGAGTGAGAATAATACCGATCACGGTCTGGGCTAACAAGGCTGTGCTAGCAAAAGCGGCCACAAGAGACCGCAGCGCAACCATGGCAGCGGGGGTGGATATCTAGGAATCTATATAAACGGCCGACTAGAGAAAGGCGACACGCAGAATAGACGCAGAGAAAAGACGATTATCCCAACAAACAGGCCATCCAGACGCAGGCGACGAGGTAGCAGGCTTTCGGCTCCTTCTTAAGTAAGACAATGACAAGCCAAGAAACGATTGCGTTTGTCCGCGTGGCGCAGAGGGCTTGGAATAGCGACAGAACGGAGGAGAAGAGGCGATCAACACCAAGAGAAGGGAAAAGAGGCCCCCGAAGAGGTGGGGACGAGCGCGCGCCGCGGACGGAGTGCCGGAGGAAATGAGAGGGAGAAACGAAGCAGCAAGACGATAGGGAGGAGGAGGAGAGAATGCGAGTGAGAGAGAGAAAAAGTGTGTGCACCAGTCAGGCGGTACTTGGGACGATGAGGCTCAGATGGTTGTCTGGCGTCGGTACATGCTTCATAGCGCCTGGGCGACAGGCCTGGACGGGCGGGACAACAGCGCTGTCAACAAGGCCTGCTGCTCCCGTAGCTGCGGCATAGGCAGTTTAGCCAGCTCGGGGAGCTGTCGGGCCCACTGCGCCTCCACTACGCAGCCCATTAAGCTCGTAAACTCAGTGGGTACGGAAGCGCTAGAAGGGCGCTGTAGCAGACATGGCGACAAGTAGCAGGGGGGGCGATGACAGCGCGGCTGCTTGGCATGGGGCTGGGACGGATGCATTTTCTGGGAGGGACGATTTCAGGTCTGTTTCGAGACGGATGGGTGGATGAGGGAATCGAGGTGGCTATGCAGGGTGCAGCGCAGATTCTGTGGCATCGGGAAGGATTTAATTCTAATTCCGCAGCGCAGTTCTTTTTTGTGTATTCAATTATTCGCGTATTTTGAGGGCGTTTTGTCGGCTTACGTTTGAGGTACCAAGCCAGCAAAGAAATACATGTAACTTTTTGTCTTTAACCTCAACTTTTTGTTATGCATATTCCCTGAAACGTCGCCGAGAAGCGAGGGGCAAGGTAGCCCTGCTTACCTGTAATAACCTGAAGCTATGTCACTGCGCGTCTCTTTTTTCTTCTTCTTCAGCTTGCTGACCCCGGCAGCAGTAGATCCCGGTCTGTACGCAATTTAGGTGTTTCGCATCAGACGACGTTGATGTCTTGGCCGAGACATTTGGCTGCATGCCATCTAAGAATTTTTTGTTCGATGCATACCTGACGTACATAATACCCCATCCCTCGAATCGCAAAATCGCCGTCAATCGATTTTTTTTTTCTTATCGTTTTCTTATGAAGAACAAGACCGTACTGTAAAAATGTCATCATGAAACCCCCCTCCCCAAATCTCACCAGCTGAGCTGAGCCACTCTCTGCCAAGAATCTACCCCAAATATAACACGCTTTTTTTTCCACCGCACATCATCCATGACCCTCCCCATATCAATTTCGACCCCGGAGCAGCATTCTCGTATAACAAGCCAAAGGTCACATGTTGTACCTACATATATGCCATGGCCCTGCAGAAGTGACTGCATCGCGCATGTCTGTTATCGCTACTCACCCTTTTTTGCAGGAGAAAAGAGAAGAAAAAGTTGGACATTCGTTTCAGCATGTAGAAACAAGACCGCGCGGTTAGAACTTCACAGGCAAAGGCCCAGCCAATGGCACATGTTCGATGACGACCATGGCTGAGTCTCTGTCTTGGCGACTTGGCACCTGATTATTATTAGGGAGATTCGCTCATCTCTCTCTCTTTTAATTTTCTCATGCTCACAAGCTCGAATGAATTATATGGGACGTTGAATTGCTCCGTTCCATTGTCGTTACTCAGCCTTCAAGTCCCTACCTAGGTAGGTGTACACCATCTTCGGCTTCATCGGCGTGGGCCAAT